TATGATGATATTTTCCCTAAGCCAGACGAGTCTTCAGTGAATGAAGGCAGTGTAGTACAAAACCTTGAAGATGACTATATTATAGAAAATAATGATATCCGCGTCGATTCAGCGTCTGAAAATTTATCAGATGTGAAAAGACTTGCGGCGGAAATAGAAGGATCGATTTCTGAGGTTCAGGCAAATGATACTGAATCAGTTTCAGCAAGTCGTAGCCTTGATGTTGAGACGAAAGAAAGCTTTAAAAAGGATAAAACAGAGTTTGGTGACGCAGTTTACTCTAATATTGTTTTAGAAAAGAAAATGTATTGGGACGAAAAGATTCGACTAATAGAAGCGAAAAACATGGAGGAATTTAAACTTCAACAGAAAAGAAAACGTTTGTCGGCTAAGCATTTCCGTCATAATGATTCTTTAAGCAAACGAAAAGGCAAACAAATTATTAGAAACTTTTTAAATTCAGCCAGCTCTTCTTCCCCACAGTCAAGAGCTCTAAGAGAAGATGAAAATCAACTAGACGAAAAATCATCGGATTTAAATATGTCTACAAACAATTCGGAATGCTCATCAAATACGATTAAATTGGTAAAAAAATGGAAGTCATTTTGGGACGAAAAACTTGAAGATGAATATGATGAAAAGCCTCAAGATATTAACCGAACATCTTGGAAAAGTGCAAATAATTCAGTTGAAATAGTCCAAGAGATAGAAAGCCCAACTACATTCGCTACGATTGAAACAGAGATTAAAGATAGTGAAACTGAACCTGAAAACCCACTAACTCCCACGAAACATGAACTACCAGAAGAAGTATTTAAAGCATTTGAAACATGCCCTAAAAGATTTTTTGGTACTTCAAGAAAACACATATTAAATAAAATCGACAGCTTTTTAGGAAAACCCTCTATCGAACATACTCCTAAGCCTGAATGTAGCAACTTTAATCACGAAACTGGCTTAGTTTCTAGTCGAATTTCAATGTTTCATAATATTTCTCATACGGAAGACATACCTCTGAAAAGGAAAGGACCCACACCGAAATTATGTAATATAAAATCCGTAAAAATAAACGATACAAAAGATAATAGTGAAAGTATTCTAGAAACAAGTAACCAACGGCCATGCTATAGTGATGAACCTAGCAGCGTACTTAAAGATGGGGAAAATGACACATCATTCACGATAGAACTTTCTTTGAAAGATATAGACAACAAAATCGTAACTGCGGATGTTAAAACTAGTAATGAAATGGAAAAAAAATGTCAGTCAGATATTACGAAAACTGTCACAGCAGGCAAAGAAGGTAACGACGTTAACAATGAAAGATTTTCAACAATACCCGATGATATTCAAAACAAAGATATTGTTGAAACAAATGAACGCAGTCTTGTGAAATGCCGAAAGTTAAAAACATTCAGTAAGTCTGAAATGGATTTATTCAGCAAAACTTGTAGCAGTGATGGAAGTGATGATTTTGACAGACATAAATCCGTTGAAGACTTACCGAAAATTAATGTTAAAAACTTCATAACTTTATATGAAGACGTGTCAAAATCAACACAGTCGACTTTAACAAAAAATGATGCAAAACCATTTACAAGTCGTACACCTTTGTACAACTCGAGTTCGAGTCCAGGTAAGATACTATTTATTTTAATTAAATGATGGAATAAATCTTAGATTATGTAACTATGTTATTGCCCTTTACAGGAACTCCATGTAAATCTTACCAAAATCCTTCAGCTTCAAAGCATATCATTAAAAGCTACTCAGAATTGAAACCAGAAGATACCTTAGAGACCGACAAGATTGTGGAAACACGATGCAGTTCTGTCCTAAGTGAAATAGAGTCAGCGCCAGAAACCGATAAAAAATACCTGAGCTTATCAGACATCGAGTTGGAGATTGTTGATAAAAATCCAGATATAGAACCGCGTAAAGACAAAAAGCCTGATGAAATCTCTCAAGTTGACTATAAAAGTCGTTTTAAAATGGCCAAACAGTATTTTCAGTCATTGGAGGAATTAAGGGATGTAAAAAAAGATAGAAAATTAAGTGAATGTAAGATAGTATTAAACAATCATTCAATTGAATCTCTAGAAGACATTGATGAAAAACCGAAAAGAAGAAGTCGAAAAACTAAATCTAACTCCTTGCCTTCATCTGAAATTGCAAAAATATGGAATGAAATGCAAGCAAAAGGAGATGATAAAGACGATAAGAAATTAATTAAAATATCAGAAAAATTTAATGTAGAAGATTTATTCGAAGATGTCATGGAAGGAAGACTGAGCCGGCAGGGCAGTTTACGTGGTATCCCTCATAAAAAGGCTGTTTTAGAGGCTTTTAAATCTATGGAGAATTTATCAGACAGTAAACTTAACTCGTACGACATGGCTGTATCGCCATGGAATTTTTCTCAGCAAAACCAGGCGAAGAATGCGCAGACGTACCTAAGCGAATATCCTTATTTACCCACAACCGATCCGTCTAATTTTCAGCCCAGATTTGACGCAAGTGCATCTGGCCTAATATCTTATAATGAACTTAAGTCTCGACCCAGACGAAATAGTGTGCCAGACATAAGACTCAATCCTTCATTCACTGAGGATCTATAATTAATATTGTGTCATAAATGTAACCCAAAACTGTAGATGCCAGTTGCGTAGAGCCTTGATTTTAAATATTTCTCAAAATAACTATCGAATATTAGTGAAGCTAAACATTTTACATAACAGTATTTATTTGTACCTTATTCTAATTTAACGTCGCCAGTTCCTATATCTTAATTAGATTGATTCATTTCATAACGAGTCGTTGTCTTGAACGATTTTGACTTGTGTTAATGCATATATTTTTTTATATAGGAAATTGGCGGTGAACTTAGCTAAGTTGTATTTTTGTGTTGCAATATTATTTTCAATTTTGTTATTTTTATACATTTAAGACATTTGTACAATTTGTACAGCCTTTGAATCTTATTATTATTGGTAAGAACGCATGTAGTTATTTATTCATAAATTTGTAATTAAATAAAAGATTTTATTGATTAAAACTGTTTATTTTTATATCACTAGAACACAACCTTTCTAAAGTCAAAACCACAAATTTCAATTTATTTTAAGTTTGTTTATTTTCTATCAAATAAGTGTAATTGCTATTAAATAAGGTTTAAATACATAAATGTCCTTGAATATTATTTTTTTCAGTATAATGCCATTCCAGTACATAGTACTCTGTGTGCTCATACAAATTTCACAATAAAATTAATAAAACCTTTGAAATATAATTCAATGTAATAATTATTTTTAGCACTTAAAATATAGTTAACCGCACATAAAAATACTTTCATTAAATAAAACTGAATATAATTTATATACAACATGATCAATTTCGATAAACAAAACTAGTCATGAACTCGACCTCCACAAAATAAATAAATAAGGTTGAAAGTAATTTTCTGTTTATTAAAAAAAAATGAAGTATGATTGTTTAACCGCACTGCAAATTTAATCTATGCTTGCTTAGTATACCTTTTCATCTTACATTTATTTATTCTGTCGTTGTCATATGGGTTATAATTAAAATTTATAACTTTTAGTAATAAGTCACATAGGTAAGTTATTTGCTGACGAAAAACAATTTCTGCACAAATTATACTAACTTGCCGGAAACTAGTCAATAAATCCAAGAAAAGTGCTTGAAAAGTGATTTTTAGCAATTATTTTAACAATCGCGTTTTTGAAGTACACGCGTGAACCATAGACAAACACTAGTTATTTATATATCACACTCTTGTCTACTATTAACTAATTCAATGTCAACTGATGATTGTCAACTGTCAGAGTAGAATGGTCAATTTGAAAAGTGAGGTTTTCCCAACGCGGTTAAATCCGCAAATAAAATTGAAATGTAAAAAAAACTAAGGAACATTAATTGTACAAAATATTATTATATTTCTTTTTGAGTTTAATATATACCAATGTACTAACATTACTCAACACGCTAAAATTTACATGTACAACCAATAAATGTTTTTTTTTTTACATTTAAATAATCACATGTATTACTTCATTTAGTCAATTTTGTTAAAAATTAAAAATAACTTTTTTAACTTTCCACCCAGAATTATGCTATTCGGCAGGGGCTATAAGATATTCAATAGCAGCTGATATGCGTATCCTTACTATGTTACTCTCAATAAAGAAAACATTAATGAAGTTAATAATTAGCGAACGCTAACCTTGGATTTGTACAGTAATTGGAAACAAACGACGGAAATAGTTGTCAAGTCAAAAAAAAAATGTTGTCATTTTAAAAAAGGTGTCATTAAAAGGTTTCATGTCAAAAAAAATATAAATGCCATGTTAAACAGAAGGTGTCATTAAAAAACAATAGATGTCATGTCAGAAAAATTGGTATCCGTGCAGGCCAAGGGAAAAAATTGGTGTCAATAGCTAATTCTATACATAGACGGAATTTAAAAATAATTAAGGGTTTAATCTATGACCTTGGTTGTTGACTCTAGCGACGTTAAGTCCGAGTCCCTTGAATTTAAAGCATATTTCAGTACAAAATTCATGTGTCTATAGCTACTTCGGAAGTAACGCGTTCGGGCAAAACGACTGTTTTTAATAAATCAATTGTGAGAAAATTCCTAAAAAATTTCGTTTATAGATATTGGCTAAGTAGTTTAAGCGTGTTCAGTTACAAAGTGACATTCGTAGTAGCACTCTTATGTCTTTATCTCTTTACCTAAAACGACGTCCGAATATAACGTAATACCCCAAAATCCCCTGAAAATTTTTTTATGCAGATTGCGCCATCTATGTTTATCATTACAAAACTTCACACATGTTGACGTCGTCCAATTATCGTAAAAACCCCAGGTTGGGGTTATTGGATTTCGGCAATTTTTAAGTTCACTGAGAGTTACACAGTCCACTGGTATACGTTTAAAAGTTCATAATCTCGCAAAAAATGCTAAAACATAACTAAAATTATTTAATATGAATTTGCACATATGTTGATGCTGTATCCGCCCGTCTCCACTGAAGCCAGTCAGCCATTAATGGATGAGAGCGATCGCCTCTCGCTTCCAGCTGTTGGTAATACGCTTCCCGGATTATGCGGAACGCGTCCACGCTTCTGTATGGCAGCTTTGTTATGGGATCTATGTAGCGAGCTGGACGTCTGAAAATTGAAGTAAATTTAAATAAAATTTCTATATAACTACAGTGTAAGTGTACTCTATATAACGACACTCAAGGGACTGTGCATATTTTGACGTTACAAAGAGTTGTCGTTAAATGGAAAGAAGAATAATCTGTATTAGAAGTTTATTTCAGACTAGTGCTAGTAATTACATAAAACACAATTATTATTTGAACGCTATTGCGTATAGTCTGTTTTTATCGCTTGACGTCTTTTGCTGCACCAGAAATTTTGTTGTATTTTTGAAGTTATACTTCTTTAGGCGCGTAATGAAAAATTGATGAGAGTGAAATTTTACGATGCGGGCGCACCGTGACACAAATTAACAGAATGAAGATGCCCACGGAAGATGCAATGGCATTGGACATAATTTAAAAACAACATTCGAATAATAATAGAATTTATGCTACACTTAATATAAGAGAATAATAATAAATATTTATTTACTTAATTATTCAAGTGTAAACTGAACTTTATTGACTATAATGACTCCTTTTCCAGTCTTTGATTATTTAATTGTAATTAATTATTTGCATGTAATCATAAACTATTTTTAATAATGCCAAAGAAGTATAACATCTTACGCGCGTACATAAGTACACGCACCCCTTTTTTACTTTATTCATATGTTGCGATATTGATGCATCTTCGTGATAAATCACGCTCAAATCAATCCCAATTTGTAAACAAAAGAACGGATTTCTTAGAAAATTTGGGACGTATGATGCCGATAGTCGAGTTTACGGGCTAGGACAATAAAGCGACAAAATAAAGTACACAGCTCCGCAGTTTTAACTAATTTCGGCAACTTAAAAAGTACTTTTATTATTTAATTGTCGTTATAGAGGGTGGTTGTAATGCTATGTAGTTTGTTTTCATTTTATAGAAGACAAGCTAAACCAACCAAAGCTGATTGATTTCGACGCTTTAGGGGTTTGTCGTTAAATCGACGTTACATGGAGTTTACAATGTATTTTGACTTAAGTTTGCGCATCGCGGGACACAAACGTCAACTGATCGACACGTAACTCTCCCGCCCCCCAAGTGATACCTAAAAATCGCTTCTGTGCAGGCAAGGACATTTGTTCAAGATGTTTTCCGGTATCTGTACTTGCGTACACCAAAAATAATATTTAATAAAATACAATTGGAATATTGTTAAAGTTCTAAAACTATGAATAGTTAATTAAAACTATTCATAGATTTTGTCTGTACTGGAATTCAAAAAGGCGATAATCAATCATAAATAAAATTCATTAAAAGCTATCTATATTACATACTTGGTGACAGCACAGAGCATCTCTCTCTTCCGTCGTGGTTTGCTCTGCGGGAAACATTTGTTGAACGCCACATTCTTTATATCATTTTCGAATGAAAGCAGAGTTCGCTCGTAGTAGGTCACGTTGTTTTTTGGCTTCGGTTTATTTTCCGTTCTGCAATACATTTATCCCATATAGTTATATTTGAATTACGAACGTAAAACCATTCTGCAATTTAATACGTTGCGTAATATTTAAATTTCGAACGTAAAACCATTCTGCAATTTAATACGTTGCGTAATATTTAAATTTCGAACGTAAAACCATTCTGCAATTTAATACGTTGCGTTATATTTAAATTTCGAACGTAAAACAGTTTTGAAATTGAATAGGCATATTTTGGAAAAAATACGTATATATTATTATGATTCAGGTCACAGATTAATTTGATTGATTCTATTACCAAAAAGGTTTTAACATTTAGTGTGTTTGATCGCCATTTATACATTTTATTACATTAGATTCAACACAAATGATAGACATTAAATAGTATATACAACTATATAAGAATAAAAAAATGGATTTGAAGTATTAAGTGATGTTCTAGGCTTTTATGATAGTAACTGTGTCTTATAAATAATGCTTTTGATTTGTTACATACTTCTTTTCATCATTTAAAGTGATCTCTTCATCCGGCCCAACAACTTCAATTGTCTCTTTGGGTTGTTCTTTTGTTTCACTTTCTTCGCTTTCAATCTTCGGCTCCATGTCAACATCTTGAGGTAGCTCTGAAATTTAATATAAATAGAAACATGAAAAAAACAATAATAAATTAAACTTAGAAAACAGTAAAAAACGGTGCGTGTACTTATGTACGCGCGTAAGAAGTTATAATTCTTTGGCATTATTAATAATACATACGGATAGTTAACCTCAATTGTATTGAAGCACTTAGGAAGGTTGATGAGCACAGTTTTTTCACAAATATTTTCTAATATTAATTCAGACCCACATATAAAATTCGCACTTGTATAATGAAAACAAAATGAAAACACAATAAATATTATAAATATAAATACACAGTGATTCACACTCTCATCAACTTTTCAAAACGCCCCTAAAGAAGTATAACTTCAAAAATCAGATATAAAATTTGTTATCACTTTTTGAAACATCTTGTCAAAGCCATCAAAATTTCAAAGGAAGATTTATAACCTAACTCGTCCTAGGAATGGCAGATCTAGGGCATGACAAAATACGCAGTAAGTTTAATTTTTAACCGACTTCAAAAAAAAGAAGGAGATAGTTTGACCAGTTTGTACGTGAGTGTTATTAAGGCAAACACGTCTAACTATCTTGATAGTTGCGTTACTTTTATTTAAGAAGCTCAAAAGTTTATCTCTTCCCTGTATTAATATATTAAAAATGTCCTTATTCGTGTACAGAAACATACATATTTTTAAGGCACATGTAGAATTCGAAGTAAGAAGTAGACATGGGGAGAAATTGGCTGTGCCGAAAAACAATCTGGAACTGTTTAGGAAAAAACACCTTTTGTATGGCCATTAAGGTTTACAATAATTTACCAAAAGAATTAAAAGATCATCCGACTAGTCTTTAAAAATCGACTCGGTGTATTACTTTTGGAAAAAATGTATTATACAATAAATGATTATTAGCGTGAGACTGTAATTTAATAACATATGATATGTACGAGACAAATAATATAAGAACTGACCAATTCATTTGACTAAAAATGTAAAATGTAAAATTCAACTAAAGACAAATTTGCGCGCCATTGTGTGTGGCAGAATATGCGAACTTACGAGTATACCACTTTACACATTTTTGTACCATATTCTTGTAATAAAGTATTATTATTAAATTTCTTCAGTATATACGTGTTTTCTGTCTATTATTTTTTTAAAGCAATATCTGACCCAACAATTTCTGAAATTGGCAAATATTCACAAACTCACAATAGTCCTATCAAAAAAGCAACATTCTGCTACAGACAAAGTAACCAATATCTTTTATATACATACCCTCTTCATTCTTAATAATGTCACTACCATTTAACTCCGTAGGGGTTTCTTTGTCTTTTCCATCTTCTTTTGGCAATGGTACAGCAAATGAGTGATATCTGAAAAATGTTTTTTTGTGCTGATGTATTCATACAATATTATTATTATGCAGAAAAAAAATGTGAGCCGTCACGGGACGCCTGGCAGATGTGAAACATCGACATTATTTTGTAAAAGTAATATGCAGAAAAGAACAGATTGTGATAGGAACTAAATATGTCATAATGAAAATATAAAATATTACGATTTTTTTTCTAGATAACGATGACTATTTATTGAATAAACATTATTTTCATTACATACAAAAATTTACGAATTTATTTCAAATCGTGACTACTTAATTCGTTTTATCAGTGACTTTGAAATACACACACTATACACACTACTGCATATAGACTCTATATATATATACCATCATATAGAGGGGTGACGCGTCGCCACAGCATGCGTCGCCACGCCAGAAATCGGTTTTACGTGCGGCTATAGATGTTTCACATCAAAAAAATTATAAAAAAAAAATTATCGCTACGAATTTGTTGTTGCCTTGGATTTAATTTGAGATGTCAGTACACTTGAGGACTTGACTTCCTGTCAGGCCGGGCAAAAACTGTGCGCAACAACGGGTCTTAGTTTGGTCATCTTTTTTTTAAGGTAAAAGCCATCTGTTCGTACATCACATGCTTACACTTACTTAATAACTGGACCAGATATACTTTTCTTCACGGGCCTAACTTTTTTTCTTTCCAATTCACTTTGTTCATACCGTTCTGGAATATTTACACCTTAATTAGTGTCAGTGTATTTAACCTGGGTTATCTAGCCAATAATATAAATTATAAAAATAATAAATATACAAATATTGTTCTCTTTGTTTATCTAATACTAAACTGCTAAATCTTATAAATTTTGTTCATATGTATTTGGCTGATAAATATAAAATGGAGACTAAATAAGAAATAACACCCCTTTTTACCATCATAGTATTTGCTTGTAGTAAACAAGTGTAAATCACCCTTTTCAAGGCGTTTTGCCAAAACTTTTACACAAGTAGTCTATGGGTCAACTTTACTGTCAGGTCGCTAACAGCCATGCGTGTTCAATACAATAATGCGTTTAGGATGCTCTTGGGACTGCCTCGTTTCTGCAGTGCTTCGGAGATGTTCGCCCAAGCCCGGACAAATGACTTCTGGGCTATTATTAGAATTAAAACAAGATCTCTGTTGAGCATTTTGTGCGTACACTTGTCGGTTCAGATCGACGAGTGTATACATAGAATGTTTCATGGGTTTTATGTTTAGCTTTTTAATAATAATATACTAACACTAGTCCGTAAGTTTATACTAACATAATGATGGATTATTTTATCTGAACAAATAAATAAATAATAATAATAGTATGATTACTAGTGTATATAGCTGTTATAGAGATTGCTTTAAAATTACAAAATACATGATTTTGATTCATATAATGTTGCCCATGTTAAAAACTAGTCTCTTACCTAAACTCTTAAGATTCTCCGCCTCTGTAATAAGTGCTTCTTCCAACAACTCTTCTTGTGTCAAAACTCTCTCTTCTGTCTTTCTTGGTTTCTTTTTCTTTAACTCTGATCTTATTTTAATTCTTTGTTGTGTCTCTAGAGATTTCACTGCTGTACTTTGTCTAATAGATTTTCTTTCTGAAATTGGTACAAAAACATGTCCAGGGTTCTAGATGGGGGACCAGATCTAAGTTTAACACGAATTTTGAATTGGTACTGTCCAGTAGCTTTGGGAGCGTTCAAGTATTACGTCCCGACGTAACGTTTTATAAGGACCCCCCAAATTCGTTACTTAATACTTGAACACTCTCTTCACAAATTCTATTTAAAAATTGTAATTTTAACCAACATACATAACTTACATCATCATCTTCTATTTGATCATGTATATTAAACAATACAGATAAATAGAAGATATTGTAAAAATAATAAATATAATTATTCAAAGATTCACATCATATGGTTACACATAAATGCTACTTGTGAAGTGTTGAAAGAATAAGTATATGCAATACAATGGTAACAGAATGTTACTAAGGTGTGTATTAACAAAACAACACTCCTATAATATTACTATGATAAAAATTACTTTATTATTCACACAATTCATTATAAATATTTACCTAACGATGTGTTTAGGCTCTGGTCAAGTTCATTTGCGTCCTTAGACTTAAGTTCTCTTGGCTCTTTGGGCTTTTTAGGCAAAAGTTTCTTCTTTTCTATAGCTTTTTTTACTTTATTAGGATCCTGAAATATGTGATTACACGATATTAGCAATATAAATGATTGTTTACTTCAATAACCTATTTTACACTACATTATAATACTCTTTACATTGTGTCAGATATTAAGGACACCCAGTGCCCTTTCAAACATAAGTTGCATTATTGTTTTGTATTCTTATATAAAATCATACTAAGTACTGGAACAATATCATGTCGTCTTTTAAATATGTATAGATGTAATGAGATTCACAATTTAAATAGGCTAAGATTTTTATGCTACACTATACAAAAAGATTTTATATTTATTTTTAACCATCCTCTTTTGTTTATAGTACTAATGGACATTGGAAATACAAAATAGCCTATGTTACTCAGCATTCACTTATATATTCACTTAGTTAACCAATAGGTGAAAGATTTTATAAATTTGTCCATTGCTTTTGGGTTAATTTATATATTATAGAAGTATAGATAGCTAAATTATATATGGAACCTTGTTATATTTTTTCAATATCTTCTGAATTGTTTTTTTTTATAATAATGAAATATTTGCATATACAATAGTACATTGCAAAAATTAAATAAGTATTTGTGAGACTTTATAAAATAGTTTTTTATTTAAGCATTTAATACTAAAAATATTAGTGTGATGACCATGACATGGAAAATTATATAGTTCATTGATGTTGTGGTTACTCACTTTATAAACCTTTCCACTACTTTTTTTCTTTTCTTTTGCTTCCGTTTCTTGATCTGAAGTAACTTCATCATTCTCATCAATATCAAAATCTGAATCAACAACATCATCTACTTCTCGTTCTTCCCTGAATGAGGATATTATAATGTTAATAAGTATAGTAACTGCAGTTAAATATGTTCAATGACATATATATAAAGCATATTAAACAGATACATACACATAGTCTCGGTCTTCAGCTGCTTCTTCAAAACCCCCATAAGTTGTCTTGTAGAAATCATCTTCTTCTTCTTCATCTAATAGTTTTGACATACGGTTCCCAGCATTTGATCGACGCTCTCTTTGAGCCATAGTTAATCAATCTATTAAGTATTATTTATATCCTACCAATTACATAAACTCCTTACCTATGGAATGGTGATACTTGTAACCAATTACTAGACCTATATTTTATTTTATAAGTGCTAAAACCATTTTAAATAAAAATGTTTTAACATAAAATAAAGTCCCAGACCGTGCAAACTGTAAAAGTGTAAACATTAAATAAAGACTATAGCAGTCAGCACAGGCCACAGATTTAGATTTTGTTTTTTTGGAGTTTATGGCCTAGTATCTAGACTTTTAGGTGGCTTAAAGGTCTCGTTACCAGGCCAGAAAATTATTTAAAAAAAAATAGACTTTTAGGCCAAGTCTTGACTGTTCTTATTCGGTTTATTATAATTATTTCCCCACTGTATTTTTGATGAATTTATATAGAGGCACGTAAAGGATCTATTTTTAACATATCACTCAGGCGGCGGGAGGGATCTTGCACTGTCACTTGATTTTGCACTATGTCACTAAAGGTGCGCTTACACGGGCAACTAAAATTGCTCAATTCCAGTCAATACTCGTCAACTATGACGTCACGACTACATCAAGCAATTTACGGTAACGGCAACAAGCATTAATACTGCGCAATATGGCGCAACTTCATCAACTAGGCAATACTGTCCTACACGAGCATTTCAGTATTCGCTCGCTATGGACGACATTGTTGTTGCTGCGGCGGCTTGTAGCGCTTTTTTTATTATTAATCAAAAACAAAAGGAATAGGCGTCTGGTGCGTCAAATCTGGGTGCGATCGTTTTTGGCAAAGATGCCGTTTTCATTGTGAAAATAAAATTAAAGAAAAAAATAATTAATTAATTAAATTAATAATAATTAAATTTTCAATTTATTATTTTTTTAATTTTTCTTTAATTCTTTAATTTAATTGTTTTTTTTTCAAGAATTTGATAATATATTATTCAAAAAACTTTACTAGAATGTCACGAACAGACTTTGAATTACTTTTGAATAAAGTAATTAGAAATTATTATTATTTAGACCTCTCGCTCTCCCCGCGGAAGCAAGACCGCTCGGAAAGGAAATGGTCGTCGACTTGGGCGCTTGCGGTTAACACAAGCGCCTCCCCCTTGGACTCAATTGCCTCTGTCGTTCCATGAGAAAGGTATACAAAAAGGTCACCAGCTGAGCGACCACCGAGGAAAGTCTTATAGGCCCCCAAGAAACCGCTCGCAAAGAAAGGCCGCATCCCGTCCCAATCTGCTGAACTATAGTGCCAAATACGGCGACACGCAAGCGGGGCCGTGGATGGTGCGTAGTAGGCACAGCCCTGCGATTCTGTAACTCACTTCACACGCTCTCACAGCGGATTTTTGCTGTCAAATCGTTCGTTTCGGTGTCATGTTACAATTTGGTATTCTGATAAACAATAACCGCGACAAAAGCGCCGCTCAAATGAGATTGTTTACATTTGGAACTAAAATTTGGCACTGCTGTCTGCTACACTTACGCTCCAAAATTGTTGGTATTTGGTATTCTGATAATACCACTTGACATCTCATCTCATTTTCATGTAGATTCTTTACGTCAAATTAAAAGTTGCTCTTCCCTCGCTGAAATCGTGATTTACCAGTGAGTTAGCCATTTTTAGCGAAGTTAAAACTTGTTTTATGTGAAAATATTCTAACATAGGACAATCTATATGTATGTTGGGGTAAGTTTATAAAATAATATATATATATATATTTTTTTTTTTAGACAATTCACACCAAATGACCTAGTCCCATGCTAAGCTGGTGAAGCTTGTGTTATGGGTACTAGGCAACGGATATACATACATATTATACATAGATAGACATATAAATACATATTTAAACACCCAAGACCTAAGCACAACATCAAATGCTCATCACATCGATGTTCGTCTCAGCCGGGGATCGAACCCGGGACCCATGGTTTCGCAGTCAGGGGTACTAACCACTAGACCAATGAGTCGTCTAGTGATATTATATAGATAGTCTCGTGATATATATAATATATCAATACAGCATTATTTTACGAAAAAAATATATATATAAGCATTAGGCTTCGTGAAATAGAACTTTGTTATTGTTACAGAAGGCCCGTTTCCACTTTAAAAGTTTAAACCTCTATTTCAAGAAATAAATGATGTAAACCATTAAAAATACTTAATATAATATCTATAGATGGCGAAGAAAATGTAGGCACGAAACGACCAATTGGTTTCTCGGCGTTGGTTACTATCGCTTTTTTCCAATACCCAAGAAATTATATGGTATTGACGATACCTAGAACATATGCTGCTGAGATGAACGAAGAGTCTAGTAAATAGATATTCTAAGGTAAACATTTTGATTATTTTAGCATTAAAAATATCATTTTTATCCTTGAACAAATTTTGCGATGCAGTTTTGATCATGTCTTGACTCCAGCAGAGAAAACGATAAATAAGTTAAGATAGGTAAATTTTGTAAAATATTTGTATTTTTCTACTATACTAAAATTATAAATCTAATAATTTCAGAGATCCAAATGTTCAAAATTCCTCATAGAAAAATACATTCTGCCTTTGAAGAAGAAGAATATTACATTTGTATCATACAACAAGACCCCTGGATATAGAAAGACACAATAGTGCAGACATCTTCAAATTATTGAATTTGGACTATCCTTCAATTTATAATAAATGATAACACAGTACAATTTCGGTTTCTATATTTTTATTAATATTGATATAACATTAAGGTTTTGGATAAAAACATTATTCTGCTTTACACAAGTATGAAATACCATCATTACATACATGATGGTTTTAGTACTTATTAAGCTTTTTTAAATTTATCGTTCATAACTATTACTTTTTACAAACTAATTAGAAAATATATTAAAATAAATATATTTGTCTACAAAATAAAGTAGATGTTATTGATTAGCTCTATGTGAGGCTGGGTTTGAATTAGTTTTTATTATACTTGAGTTTGTATTACTGAAAGTTATTTTGTAGTGTGTTAAAAGTTTACTATAATCATTAAATTAAATGTGTAAGTTATTATTTTGTTCTTTTATTAACCCTATAAAGTAACATGGCTTATATATTTTTCATTTCAGCTTAGCTATGTATTTTACTCGGTTACTACTTTTTCTATAGGCAGTCATTAAATAAGTGGTAGATTTAATTAATCATTTTATTAATATTACAATATTATTAGATACAAAAAAATTATTATGAAGTACACAATTATCTTAAACACAGTAATACAATTTTTCATATAAAAAATCATAGTTGTCCAAAGTGCATTCAAAATAGATTTGTGGTCTCGGTTTAATATCTCTTCTTAACATTTCAATAATTGGTCATTTTCTTCCTCATTCTTGACAACTACCGCTGATGTCTGTAATACAATGGTTATCTGTTAAAATTGTAAATAGGGAGATGTGGTAGCTCACTGTACTATCACAATAATATTGCTTAGCAATTTAATTATTGTAAAGTTAAGGAAAATAATAAAAAACTTGCATAAAACACACAAAAACTTATATGAGATATCTTGGTATTTCTAAATAAAGTATCTTAAAAACATGTTTGATAATATTATAACTAAGCCAAATATTATTTAAAGTTTTATGGTAACAAGGCTTAGTAATTTCGCACACAGTATTTGATTCAGCACTATGAATAAAAAAATCTTGAGCAAACCTATATTTAGACTCAAAAATCCAAATCCAAGTAGTATGTACTTTAAAAACAATTATTTATTAATGAAACAAATCCAAGACCCATAAAGGGTTTGTTTAGTGCTAAAGTGTAGTCAGGAGCAATAACTATCTTTTGATTGCTTCTATGTTTATTAAATAAGTTATGGCAATGTCATTTCCAACATTTAAAATCAACGTTGATCACTTGAAATGGTATGAATTTGAGCAATTGAAAGCCTATATATTTGATCCAACATACCTAACATGATTATTTATACTTGTATTCTGAAATCTGAACAATTAAATTAAATTCAACCTGATCAATTAAAATTAATACTTTTTATATTTCATGAATGGAATTTGAAGTTAGGAAACCTAAAAATATTTTTTATATTTGACATTTTTAACCAACAATTTCATTATTCTTTACAATGTCGCTTCAATTTGACTTCAAATTTGCCATCAAACAAACAAACTTTGTTAACTGTTTTTCTAGACACTGCTTATTCCTATTTCTTTACTATGATAGTTATTATATTTCTAAAATAGTTTTAATAGAATTCAGTTTTTAAGTGTTAGTAAAAACATAGATAATATTGTTGTTGTGTGTTTGACCTCTGAATCACTTAAAAAGGTTGCAATAGTAGTTTCATGGCATCTAAAAAGTACCAACACTTGCACTTACACAAATGAATAAAAACTAATTTTTCTTCTTTATAGATAGGTAGGTACCCTTTTATTTTATAATTTCTCAACATAATATTATATGAAAACATTCACCTTTAGTAACATTTTGAAAATTTAAGATACCTATCCATCCTGTTTAGTTTGAATCCTTAGACCATTTGCTGAGAGAATCACTTTTAGCGTGACATAATAATCTTTTTGCCAAGATAATACAATATATCCAGATGTTAGGTCTCCCTTGTTTCGTGCTGAAACATAATTAATATTTTTAAGTTTCTGTCGCTCATATACACCACGTCTGGTCAGTTGTCGGTTAAATACAAAATATCAACTCTTAATTGGAAGTTATAAACAAAATACGTAACTTAAGATATACTAATAAATAAACTTACTACTTACCTTTAAGCGGCCCCTTTGCCAGATGGGTTTTAATATTATATATTTAATAAATTTTCCTCGCTATGCTAAACCATTTTCTATTATAATCTTGCTAATTATTTTCCATCAGATAAGTCATTTTTGAGATATTTTCACAGTTTATCTTTTTTTTAATATTTTTCATTTTATTTCAAACGTCGACCATTTTGTTCTCTATTTACTTTGTTTTATTAAAAATATTTTGTTTATGTATGATGAAAATTTTGACAATTAGCTCTTTTTATAAATAAAATGAGTCAATTGTCACGATATTAATAGACAACAACTCACTAGGTTTACTCCCTCCACTTATCAAGACGTAATGTAAAATTTCTTAACAGAATACCATGAGATTCCAAATTTTACGTGAGTGACGAAGGGAGCGCTGTTAGTGCGTGATGAACTCACGGATTACCAGTGAGTTACAGAATCGCAGGGCAGTACTCCGGACCACATAAGGATCCGACGAATCCATAGGAGGGTCGAGGGAGACTTGGTTGTTCTTCAAGATGTGAGGTCAACAGAAGGTCCAACAAAGATGGTTTGTGACCATCAACATCTGGTATTCGCGTAATTGCAGGAACCATTTGTGTCAGGGCAAAGTCATGATCGGCTTTACTCACTCAGTTGTCATGTAAATAAATAAATACATTTAAAAATTCTAGTCTGTGACTGTATTATTTGTAATTTTGTGCGCGTGTTTGCTATTATAGGTCTACCAGGATCTGATGGCAAAAAGGGAAAAAAGAAATTTACGCTAGCAATACTGGGGAAATTGGAGTAAAACGTTTTGATACTTTTTTTTTCCTTATAGCGGCTGATTCTGTGTGTGATACATGCAAATATAAAAATTTATCCAATGAACAAGGATAATTTTTGAAAATGTGGCGAATGTGGGGTTTGAAATTTAGATGAAAACTCCAATTACTCTGTTCATGAGTTTATTAATTAATTAAGAACTTGAAAATGGTTCCAAATACTGCACAGCCATAAAAACGTCTTCAACGCAGTATTTATGATAAACCTTTCCTCCTGCATCTCAATTAACCGATCTTGTTCACAAGATTTTAGCCATTCATCGATCCCTATTTGAGAGAAAGAAACAGTGTAAAACTCATTTATCTTGTTTCTGATCAATTCTAAATCAAAACTATTCAAGTTTATTTGTAGTATAAGAAACCCCTGAAATAAACCAAAGTTTAGTATAAGTACATAATATAATACACACGAAAAATCCCATAAACCAAAGTATCAAGACGTGTCACTCCTACTAACCAGTCAACGCTTGCACATGGCTCAATATCGATGATTGTGTATGTTCTGCATCTTGTTGACCAAGTATTCTTTTTTTAAACATTGAAAACAATTTGTCTTGCTTGCGATTGAAGAGGTTTCTTCGACATTTTCATCACTTTTTAAAGGAAATTTGAAGCCAAACCAAAAACAATTCCTCAAAATTTCAGTTGACAGATGAAATTTTTCTTTTATTGCCATATGAAAATCGCTAATTTTTAAACTTTTTTTTTGCCATCAGATTCTGGTAGACCTATAGTTATTACGTTCTAGTAGTTGATCACCAAATTGTGTGAATATTAAAAACAATGATCGTTTTAAATAAGACAAGATTGATTATTTTGCAGGTTTTATATTTCTAAAGGCGTAAATATGTCGTTCAGTGATCGTTGTTGTTATCCTGGTTGTCATGAGAGTGGAAGTAAGTAAATAAAACTAAGTCTTTTCGTCATTTGAAATTTTAATACTCTGGGAGAGTATGGATCTAAACTGATTCATACATCATTTATATATATAGTATTACATGCTGTTTTGTATGTACTTAGTGGTACAAAAATTCTAAGCACTTACCGAAATTCCAATTAAATAAAAATAGTTCACATGTGCGACCGAAATGAAAATTACCATACAATTAATTTTTCAGATTCACATAAAATCCTACATGGCTTTCCAAGCCCCACTTGTGATCTACAGAGATTTAGATCTTGGGTCTATGCAATTGGTGGTGATATTCTTCACTTGGATAATTTCTACATTCACAGATATTGCAGAGTCTGTCATTATCACTTTGAAGAGAAATATTTTTGCCCTTATAATGGAATTAATAATATGGCTATACCAACACTCGAGATCTCTGGTAAGTAGTAGAATTTTTAATAATATAGCTGTAATTTTTATTGACATTAACTTTAACAATATGTACAAAAATTAAGATTAGCTCACCCTTTCGAGTTAATGTTTAAATAGCGTTTATTAGGCAGGTTCTTATTTTTATTTTCTTTTACTTTTGGTGCTTCTCAAATTCAAGTAAGAACATAAACATACTTTAAAAGCCAATATTAAGGTATAGTAATTTATACATATATATTTGTTATACAGGGCTTCCTGTTAATTAATATCAAGCCAAAGTGGCATTATGGAAGTGGCTAACCCCAGAAAAATATTATTTTTGTGTTTGTACTTCCAAAAAACATTGTCTTAGGTATATTATTTTAGGGTTAGAACTAAATTAATCATCTTTTTATGTCACTTACCAACATTGCATAGTGTTTTTTTTAATATTGTCACATAGATGGATGTAAGAACATTACATTTCCATAAAATTCACTGAATTTTTTGAGCTTAAATCAATTAAATTACTTTGAAATTCCAGATCCTGTGAGTTTTGAAAGTGTTTCTGAAGGTATTCCTTGTGTCTCTTCTCAGGTGGAAATCCCACAAGATAAGAAGCAAAATTTATTACTTCATTCAGGTATATATATATATATATATATATATATTTTTTTTTTATTTTTAATAAATTTATTTTATATTAGGCAAGTAGGTGATTAGAGTGCCCCTATGGGCACAGTGGGGTTGCAAATCTGTGACTTCAGCATGTGCAATGCTCACTCAACATGTGCTTATATAACTAATACTAGCGTAGTTATACCGGCTTTTCATGATCGTTATGTTTTATGCTTTTCTACTGTAATTACTTGAAAACTTATTCTCACAAGAGGCAGGTCATTTTACCGTCAAACTTTGTTTTGATTTTTAACATTGTGTAACCTTTCAATAGACAAGCAGTTTTTAGCTGTTTACCATTAAAATGATATTCAGATATTTTTACAGAAAATGATGAAAATTTGGATCACAACTATTGTCAATTGCAAGATGATAATTATTGCCCTGAAACGGTTGCTGTTGAATGTAAGACTTTTTAAATATATTAAATGATTAAAAAATTTATGTTTTTGGATATATAACATTATGTAATATAAATTTATTTCTAGTTATTTTAGTCTAGTTATTTAAACAACTCTTAACTCAACTGTTCTTAACATCTCAACCTCTGTTGTTTAAAAATATTTTTAGTAATGAAATCATCTTGTGGGCCTCTATTCACTAACTTTGTTTTACATTATCTAAATATAATAATAGTCTCCAACATTAGACATTTTAAATCATGTTGTTTAATAGTACAACAGATGAACAATAGTTCCAGAGGTTTTTAATTTTGAAATTTTGTTTAAACTGCTAATAACAAACAAAATATTCTGTTGAATTATTTTTAAGTAATAGTAGTAATAATTATTATATAATTCCAGCTTAATTATTTCAGATGAAATAATCAGTGATAATATGCAGATTTCGGAATTATCAAATGAGGCTATTGAAGAAGTAAGTGAATCTGGTAGGTGAAATTATTAAAAAAAAAATGTTTATTTTTCTTTGTTCATTATTTTAATTTATGAGCTCTGAGAACAGACTCTGGGACTATCTGTATATATTATCGCTTTTTAATAAATCGATTATATTACTTACTCTGTTTTTAAAGTTAAACAGATAAAATATGCGGTTTTAGATGAAACCAATGTAAAAAATGTTGGCCAACAGCGCCATCTGTGCGATAAACGTAAACAAGGAATGTTATTTGTTGTCGAAAAATTAAATTTACCGTTTCAAAAAATGCAACTTTTCGAACGGTTATAAAAAATCCATTAATTTTCCCGTCGCATCCCTACAAGAATTATGTATTAAAACTGTCGAACTGTAATAGCGTGACAGTGACAGACAATGACATGACACAAAATGTAGTAGCTACGACAAGAAATTCTGCGACTGTTCTCTTCCTCCACAGACTACTTAGTCAATTTTACAATATGTCATTTTGTTTTAGGTATTTCATTCATTTCGAATCATTTCAATAACCGGCTCACGAAACGCCAACCACAATGTTTAAGTTCACAAATCGTAACTGGTTCAGAAGTGGACTCGGGTAAGATTTTTATTTATTTAGAAAATTCAAACATAAAAATACCGACTCAATATGACGTGTTCCGATAGAATTTGATGATGTAGTACATATATACAATCAGATAACATAAATTATTTATTTATTTCATAATCCTACAGCTAACAAAAAATATATAAAAACAATTACACTAAAAATATAGCCAAACTTGGAATGCCTAATTTGGCGGTGATGTGTGATGATGTAAAAGTGAGAATGTACGTAATTAATTTGATTTCAGATGATGTCATGTAATAGCAATAAATCGTATTGTTTTCGTCGAGAGTCTAAAGTATCAATTTTAAAATGTTCTCGCGCGACTTTTTAGAAAACTTATTAAGTGAGGAACGTGTGGTCTGATAACAAGCGATCTCTTTCCTAGTAAGGAAAAAGAAATACAAAAATAAGATTACAGATAACAATAAACTTCTACAATTACCAAAATTTATTGAAAAACTAAAAGCTAATCCAAAAATTGAGAGTCATGAATTCCAATTAAAGCGAGGATCTAAAATATAATAAAAATAATATACAGTCGAAATCTGTTACAACGACATCCAAGGCTACTCATATTTGGTCGTAAAAACCGATAGTCGTAACAGCCGATGATGTTGTTATTATATTAGGGAGCGTTCAAGTATGACGTAACGCAATTTTTGGAGATTAATTGACATGAAACGCGCCGTAACGTTATTCTGTACCTAATAGTAAAACGTTTCGTGACCACACATTGACTCTTTATACCTAATAGTTAAAGTTATCATTATGTGGTGTAAAGAACTGGAAAGTCGTAAATAATAATAATAACGCGTAATTCAATCCTCGCCCCGCATCGTAACGTTTTACAAAAAGAAAACCATGCATTACAAAAACCAACCACAACCAAAATCAACCAACAATAGTATGATAAGGATATGGTAATTATGTGTTTATGTTAGTTTTATAACAAATCGTAAATGTTTCAGGTATTAAAAATATTTCACATATATCTAAAGATACGCAGATCATAAATATTCAGTCTCAAACCGAGTGTAACAGTATTAATAATGGTGAGTATTCAAAATTATAACACATCTGTGAATATATTGTTTTTTTATTAGTTATAATATGTTGCTATATTGCGACACAATATTTGCCTACGAATGACTACAGTGTCGCCATACCCTGAAGCGCGCTATAAATATTATTCCGAGTAAGCATATGTACATCTTCTCTTCCTTAGCCACTGGAACCTTCGGGCCAGTCAGTGGTTAGACTGGTCGAGTACCCTCATTACTTAGGTTAAGGAACAGTAGAACTTCCTTCGCGATATGTTTTTTTATTATTTGTATTTTTAATTGTAGCATTATCCAGGTGTATAGGTTGTATAGGTGTATAGGGTTATCGAAAGCTGGCACGTTCACACTACTCACACTAATGCAATTCCACTATACAGTATGTTTAAAAATATGACTTGTTTTGCCAAGCTATATTTAGTCTACTCTGGTTGCGTACTTCACTAACAATTCTTTCATTAAACTGTTTTTATTAAGATGCTTAAAAAATTTAAAATCATTGTACACTATTTCACGAGATTGTCCTGTTAATGTTTTGCCGGAACCAATTATTTCATAAGACATTTTTTTCTAAGTATTCTAACCTCCAACCAAATAAGCAAACAATCACAGACAAAATAATAATGAGAAAAAAGATCAACATGTATTTATAAACAGTAGCAAAAACAAAACAATAACTGTCTCTTTTATACTCATAAGCTTGACCGAGCGCGAGAGAGACGGACAGTCTTTTCATGATACATATTCAGTGTTACGTCACGCCTCCCGCTTATTCACAGACACCACACAAGCACAAGTGTAAATGTGTTGAAGCCGCCAGCTTTAGATAACAGACCTATAAGTATTGTGTAGTTCTATTGCATTAATTTAATCATATACAATATACATACATACTTAATTTATCGCTTTTCATTAATTAAATTAATTCATTAATTTTGATTAATGAACGCGATATTTAGGTGAATATCAGTTATTTGGGTTAAATATGTTTAACTTGATGGTCAGTCATCACGTAATTGACGGTTTAACAGATTTTAATTATACCTAATACACTTTAAAATTTAATGTAAAATTTTAAAAATAATTTCGTCTTAGAAATAGGTAACTGTGACGAATTAATTGTATTTACTTAATTTAGCGAGAAATTTTGGGACAGTTTATAGTTTTAACGCGTACAATATTAAATATTTTCTCAGACTCGAAGGATGAACAAATTAAGTCACTGAGAAAACAATGCCGCCTTTTAAAAGCAAAGCTTAAGAAACAACAGCAAAGGATATCGTGTTATAAGGAAGAAATTAAAAAATCTAAATATCTAACAAAAGAAAAGTTTGATGCCATAACAGAGAGGGTGCCAGAACTGGGCAAACGACTCATGTGGATGCAATTACACCAGCCAAAGAAAAAGAACGGACATCGCTTTGATACAAAAGAGAAGTTGATGTGTCTCGCGATTAAGAAGTATAAACCCGAATGTTTTAAGTTTTTGAAAAAGACATTTCTTATGCCTGGGAATAAGACGTTGAAGAACTTTATAACAAAATTGCAATTGCCTGATTCCAAGCCGGAGGGAGACGTAAGTTCTGATGATTTCTTGATGTATGAATTTCATTGCTTAAATTTCAATTTCATTTCTGAAAAAATTGCAGTTATTTGTTTGGACATACAGTCCAGACCTGACGTTAAAGTTATTAACGAAGGTTTAAATTACCAACACTATTTATTTATTTACAGCTTATGTATGGATGTATAGTTAAAATTTAACTAAAAAAAGTATAATACAATTTAGTCCTTTTTATAAGATAATCCAGAAAATATTATACTTGCCTTATCCCCATCACATTCGTACCACATCTTAAAGTACTGAACTGATTTTGATGGGCTCACATGCTTAAAAAGCTAATAATATTTGAAAATACTTAAATATAATGTAATTAAACAAAATTCTTCTACCTAACGTTATTATATAATGTAATCAAAATTTTCCTTTCCCGTAAATGTTTGAAGATTTTCTATATTGTAGTATGTATTCCGTCTTTGGCTAGATGTATAGTATATTGTTTTTTTTGTATATAATCTATGTTAGCGGTAGGATTACAAAATAAATAAAAGCCTTCAATCTTCTAGCTTTTAAACAGACGTAATTTTCATACAAACATTCACCCCCGTTACAACCCCTTACAGCCTTTTTCCCATTAAAATTAATGTCCTTTCTCAGTCTTGCGATTCTGTAACTCACTTTTCGAACTCTCACAGCGGTTTTCGCAGCGGCGGTCGCGCTCAAATCAGTCGTGAAGCATTCATTTTACGATTTGCTATTCTGATAAGGAGGGAGCTTGTAGTTTATTGTTTATCAGAATGCCAAATCGTAAAATGACTGATTTGAGCGCGACCGCCGCTGTGTAAACCGCTGTGTGAGTTCGAAAAGTGAGTTACAGAATCGCAAGGCTGTGCCAAATTTCATTTAAATCGGTTCAGTTTAGGTGTGATTGCGTAATAGACAGTTTCGCATTTATAATATTAAATTACTTTCCAAAATTATCGAATACACGTCAAACTGGCCGCTTTGAAGTTGGTTAAAATTTTGCAGAGTTTTGAGGTACACATTTATTTCAGGAACCTAATATCGATGACATTGAAAACGAAGAAGTCGTTTCCGACACTTTGCTCGATGGAGCGGACTCGGAAATTCAAATTTCATATGAGACGCACAAAAATGTGCTCGGAGAATTCATACAATTTAATAATAGCACCAATTTGGCTGATTTTACTGACTTTCAGCATGGTTTATGTTAGCGTACCTCCGGTTCATCTCCAGGGTTCGATTCTAGTGAAAAATATATTTTATTTCCTTATTGTGATATGACGGCACTCCTAAGAGATATTTTTGTATAAAAAAGTATACAATAAAAATATTGTTATATTCTTGGGTGGCTGGCCTTTATCAGGAATCGAACACTTTAATGTGAAATTGGGCGTCTGTCGGCGTTCCTAAAATTGTGACTTGTATTGTGATATAAGAAATTAATAAATAATACACGAGTAAAGTACTCTGTAATTTTTATAGTCTGTAGCAAATTGGAGTTTAGCTATAGCTGCCTCGTTATATTTAATAAATGAAACTGAAAATCGAATTATATTTTTGAAGTTATACTTCTTTAGGCGCGTTATGAAAAATTGATGAGAGTGAAATTTTACGATGCGCGCGCACCGTGACACAAAATTAACAGAATGAAGTTGCCCACGTAAGATGCTACGGCATTGGACATAATTTAAAAACAACATTCGAATAATAATAGAATTTATGTTACGCTTAATGTAAGAGAATAATAATAAATATTTATTTATTTAATTTTTCAAATGTAAACTGAACTTTATTGACTATAATGACTCCTTTTCCAGTCTTTGATTATTTAATTGTAATTAATTATTTGCATGCAATCAAAAACTATTTTTAACAATGCCAAAGAAGTATAACTTCTTACGCGCGTACATAAGTACACGCACCCTTTTTTTTGTTTTTGTTTTGAGGGAGTTTAAGACTTATGACGTATGACGCATGTCAATATCCAATACGCTTTTGACAGATGTCAAAATCGACTACGTTTTTGAGATACTCGAGTTGTTGTCAGTTCTAATTCGTATTTGGTTTGAGCGCTGTCAAATATGTCAAATTTTATACTTGTAAAATGGTTTCACAACTCTTGAAGCTAGATTTAAGTTTGAGGGTCTATACATTTATTATTATCGTAATATGACAGTTCCAAAGAGTATGTTTTTTTAATTATATAGAACAGGGCCAAACAGGCAGGAGGCTCACTTGATATCAAGTGCCCATGGACATTCTTAATGTTAGAGGGCTCGCGAGTGCGTTGCCGGCCTTTTATTATTAGTATATTGGTACGCTCTTTTCTTGAAGGACCCTAAGTGGACCTAACCCGAATTGGTTCGGATATACTTCAGTGGGCAGCTGGTTCCACATAGTGGTGGTGCGCGGCAAAAACTGCTTTAAAAACGCTGAGTTGTGGAATGACGGACATCGAGGTGATATAGGTAGATATACTATATTATCATGAAAGACCTCAATGTGGTTAAAATACTGGAATTGTTATTCTAAGAATGTCTAGTCGTATGTAAGTTTTATGATAATAGGGTAGTTGTATATCATTTAGTGTCTGGGTGACCATAATTGCTGAAAAGCACTCAAATCGTCTAATTATGTACAATTGAAATAATTAGTTTTAAGTAATTAAAAAGGAATTATACGTTGCTATAAAATCTGTTTTTTTATTTATTTTCCTCTCCTCCGCGGTTGACTGTGTGTGTTCCTACGCATTTAACACTCGCTTGTACGGTAACGAAAACATTTTAAGGAAACCATGCCTTAGACCTAAGTCGGTCTAAATTTTATTACTAGGTGTTAAAAAATTGTATCTAAATAGTGCTTTTATTTATTTATTTTGCAACGTTTGTATCTTAGAAATTTTGTTTTTGCATGCATACCATAGAGAAAAAAAAGGCATGCGTATTCGTTAATTTTTCTCACCAACTTACTGTTTCCAAGTCTTTTCTTGCAAGATTCTATAATACAATATGCTTTATCGACAATTTTGACATTACATGGCATTTTAAGTATTTTTGGTAGTTTATTATTTTATTTTATAAATAATACCTATTCTACTCCCCTGCCATTGTGTCCAGGGAATTTTTTATCTCTAAACTTCACATCATTCGTCTCGCGAAATACGCTCCGGCTACATCGGTAATATTTTTGTTTACAATGTTCATGGGCGAGCCGGGACGCAATTCCTCGCGAGACCCGTTCTTTCAGTTTCCTTTGCCGCCTTAATATATTTAACAATTTTTTTTCGCAGGACCGTTCCAGGCACGATCTGTGCTTTATTAACATGTCCTGTAGGCCGTTACGGTCTTCAGTCATCTGCATTTATTGCTCCAGGTCGTGCCTGGACGATGCGAATATAGGGCAATGTAGGAGCACATGTTCAACTGTTTGAGCTTCATTACTACAGGCACATGTTGGGCTTGTCCTAATTTTAAACCTATGAAGGTAATGTGCAAAGGCTCCGTGCCCTGTAAGAATTTGCGCCATCTGGGGTGTGAAACGCTTCTCTTTTATTAATTTTTGGTAGATTAAGTATGTAAATCGTTCTTTTTAATATTTCTTCCGCCCACAATCTATGCCATAAATTAATCGTACCACAATCCAAACAAACTTCTTAATGATGAGGTCATGCTCCATTAGGGATGAAGAACAATAAAGTTGAATAAAACAAATAATATTTTGTGCGATTTATTAAATTTTAACAGTTATAATAAGATTTTACTTCAGTCGTCATTAGTTGTAATTGAAACAAAAATCTATTTTAATTGTCTTACAATTTTCGTTCATTGTACGCTGAACCAGAATGAACCAGATCAAAGATAAATGACTTACGAGCCAAGTTAAATTCATACTGGCTTTACAATTAACTATCAATTAAAATGAATAGGTAACTATTAAATTTATTACAACATTAGTTTCTCTCTGATTAAACGTTCAATTTTAATTTTCACTAATAATTTTCTTTGGGTAGAATAATTTAAGGATATAAAGATAAATATTAACAAATGACAAAAAATAATTTAAAAATAACTTCTATTCTATCTATAACAAAGACGATGGAATGTATTTGGTGGGTGAATGAATGACACACGATTCAATTTTCTCGACGCCATATTGAAAAATTCTGGTACTAAATTTTATTTCTACGCAGTTATAAGTTGCATGAATTTTATTAAAACGGAAGTCAAGAGAAATGAATCATAATAAAAGCACAATTAAAATTATATAAACAATAGTCAAGAGATACCAATTTATAAGGGCGCTTTGTTACTAACGTAAGTCAGTACAGCCCTTTGACTTTTGTGTATGGACATATCACATAAACCTATTCACAGTTTAAAAAAAACCTAATTGTAGTCTGTGACTCAACTCTTTACTCTACTTAACTCTGTAATAAAAATCATGCTTTGCAAGAAATGATTTATCTAAATAAGTAAAATATTTTAATGTACTATATAAACAATGGCAACATTGATTTAATAACTTTATTATTGACTATGGCCAATTTATCAATGAGTACGTGTACTTAATTCCACTCGTTCGTGATATTTTATATAAGTACACCTAAATATTGATAAAGAAGCTCCAATAAAAATTTCAATAGAAGTAAAATCTATGTAAAACAACCGATGAATAACATTAAAATATCATACATTTATAATAGAAATAAACTTTGCGTTGGTAGGTATGTGCTTACACTACATGAAGACATAAAATAATTTCAAATATAGCAACACTAAAATATGAAACAAATTATTCAATGACTTTCATTCATCGCATCTCACTAATATTATCTTAATTAGTCAATATCATTTATGATTAATTTAACTACATACATTCTCTATAGATTCACCTTAACCTACAAATATTTAAGACATATAAACCTAATGAAATTATGGTTAATTTTCGAAGTAACAAGACCCCGTGAACTTATGCATAAACATGTTATTTTTATATTATTATGTTAGTTAAATATTTTAAATTTGCTTTACCGCATTCCACGTGGCGATCAAGAGGTCATTCACCCCAAGGTCGTGACGTCACAACTTGAACTATCAGCGATTTCAAAATTGATTTAAGTTTTCGAAACAGTTATTCCATATTCAAAACAGAAATAATTGTTATGAATTGTGTATTTTACAGGAAGCGTTTTTGATCGTGCATTTCTTTTAAAAAACGCTTCGTAGCAATTACATTGTTTTGATGTTTAGGAAATTTAAAAAGTCCCTAATACATACATATTATATCCATTAATGAAGGTATTTATTTAATATGATGACTGCTTATGATTATATATGTAAATAGTTCACCGAGCTTGGTTACATAATTTATTATATATATTGTAAATAATACTATAACTTATCTACGTTTTAGATTCAAAATGTATACAATATAACATGAACATAACTATATCAAAATTTTATCGTCGAAATTCATATGAATTATTGAGCAAATTATATTTCATACACCTGCTCGATAATGTTGAAATATCAACAGTAAAACGGTTAATTTTTTATATACTCTACCTATACATTATACTTAAATATAAAATAGTGAGAGTCTGAAGAGTAAAATTCACTACAAGTTAATAATATGTACAGGAATGCAGTGCAAGAGTGAAAAAAAACGATTTGTGTAGAATAATAACTCCCAATAGGTGTTAAGTTGATTTGAAATAAATAACAGCTACGTTCGAGAAACCTCTTTGCATTGAAATTAAAAGGAATAAATACTTATATTCATTTTCTTGCAACCCTGTGTATTCTACAATTTGTGATATTTTGAATTGATGTCTTTCAACTCGCCAAACATTTTTAAATTAAGAACCTAAAAATCAACGAATTCGATTTTCAAATATATTTTTTTTTCAATAAACTATAAATTGTGGGATATTTATTAGAAAGATTTAGAATATCTTTACAGTGTATTTGACAGTTGAAATACGTCATTTAATACATTATCTATAATAGGATATACTTATATTATTTTCGAAGTAAACATCCGCTACTCTCTAAAGATTTTGTATTTTATCTAATTAACCTACTAAATTATGTACATTGTTCTAAAAGTCATTTAATTTTCACGTTTTATTTCGATTAAAATGTTAAAATCGTGCTCGAATACGCCGATACTTTTGGCACATTTTGGTGAGAAGGTGATAAGCGATTACTATAATACGAAGACTGCATATAATATTTAGTAGTCAATAGAGAAACTGAGGTCGAAAAGCGCATATTAACGTGTAATAGGGTATTTTTATTAATACCCGTTCTAGCCGTAATAGTTCCCGTTTTCAAAATCAGTTGTTCCAAAAATATTGTTGATTTTTTTGGAACTGATTCAAATTGCAGTAGCGCTATCTCTATCACATGAAGGTAATTTTAGAAGGTCAAAGACCTGCCTGTCAATACGAATGAGAGATGAATGCTTTGAAAATAAATAGCAATAGGAATTAAAGCGGCGACAGTGGTTCTAGTAAATTCGATCAAAAGGCCTTCCTGCGCCGGCGTTCCAAATACAGCGATTCCGGGTCGAAAACTACATTGAAATTTTAGAAGTTACGGAGTACCGATGCTTTTTTTTTTTGAATGGAATCTAGCTATTGGCCATAAGGGCCTTTACAGCTCAGCTCGGGCTGTTTTGGCGAGCGTAGCTCGGCCAGGATGGGCGTTTTTCCCGCGACTAGCGCAAGGGCGTCTCCTGTGAGACTCGAACCTCGGCTTGGGCCGTCACGGGGTGAAGTACCGATGCTATGTTTTAAATGTATGATATAAATGTGTGACTGAGATAACATTCTTCAAAACCTTGGTTGTCTCTTTCTAACGCTGTGCAATACGGCCTAGCAACGTTTTTATGTACTATTAAGTACATATGTAATCTATAATAAATATTACTATAGGATTAAGTATCTAAGATGTCTTTTTAATACCACAATATTTTGTCTCTAATAATTCGTGATTATAATTTATAACAGATTAATAATTCAACAAAAAAATTCGCTGTTATCTGTGCCATTTAATTTTTTGAGCAATATTTTTATGAAATGTTCAGAAAATTTTGCAAAAAAATTTTTTATTCCATTAGTTCGGACTTTAGATGCTCGTTTAGTAGTTAATTATTTTTTTACGTTTGTTCTTTAACAAGCAATTTAACTTTGCTCAAGACATTTATGTTATAAATGTGAAAGTATGGAAAAAAATTCATATGATTTAACACTTCGAAATATTCAAGTATCCATTACTTTTAACAACCTTTTTTTTAACTGTCTCTTCAACATTTAATCAATCCACATTATAACGGAACGTTTTAAAACGCAATAAAAATACAAATAAATAAATGATTATCACAAAGAACCTATAAAAATAAATTAAAAAATTCTAAACTATCTGAAGATAAAACAATCCAACACAAACGTCAAAAACACGTTCCGTTATACGTCGCAAGCGCAAGTTCACTGTCATTTCGACGGTCCATTCGGTGATGGGCCGTCAACATATCGGTGAACTTAAAATCGGAATTCGTCCATTCACAAATAGCAGTCGGTTGGTCAATACACCCAGCAGACGGGGACCCATTGGGGAGTGGATCGCAAACGACCCAACGCGGCTTCGAGCTGGGCCAAAGTGTCGTCAATGTCATTATTCACTATGGACAGGTCGAAATAGTGCCCGTACGTCCGACGTAACTGTTCGGACTCGCGTACTAGTACTTCTAGCGAGCCGTCGTACTGAAAACAGAACAGTTAGAACCTTTTTTAACCACCAAACAGTTCCAAAATAACGTACTTAAGGCACAGAATATTAAAATAAAACATTAATTTTTAAATATAGAACCTTTTTTAACCACCAAACAGTTCTTTAATGACGTACTTAAGGCACATATGACATAATATTAAAGTTAAAAGCGTCATTTCATTTATTAAATTTTTTTCTTCATATTGAGTATCAAGATAAATGAACAAATCATGTGAACTCGATTTATTTCCAACAAATATACAGTATTTACAATATTGTATTTAAAAAAAAACAAAATTAAACAAATTTAACGAGTTTGGTTCCTGTGGCACCTTTAATGCTGGCAGCATTTCCTCGCTGTATTGCGATTCTCACAAAACAAAATAACGAAATAATAATATTAAAATTATTTTTGATTTTATATAAATGAACAAATTGAATACTCACATCCGCAACGTTATTGAGAGGCGGTGCAGCAATGAACACGACGTAAGGAGCGAACTCCGCGGTGCGTAAGATCTTAAGCGCTTGAGGCTCAACGTCCAAAATAGCTATGCGTCGCTCCGAGTGGATTCGACGTATTGTTTCCAGTTTCGTGCCGTACATTGCGTCTTCGTGTGTGCCTGTGTTTAGTTAAAAATTTAGAATACTTAAATGAAAAAGTGAGACAGTGTTGGCCTAGTGGCTTCAAGGTGCGACTCTCATCCCTGAGATCGTAGGTTCGATCCGCGGCTATGCACCAATGGAATTTCTGTCTATGCGCGCATTTAACTTTCACTCGAAGATCGTGAGGAAACCGGCTTGCCTTAGACCCAAAAAGTCGACGGAGTGTGTCAGGCACAGGAGGCTGATCCCCCATTTGACCAATGATCATCAAACAGAGACAGAAATCTGAGACCCAGACCTAAAAAGCTTGAAGTGCCGCTGGTGAGATACATAAAAGGAGTAAAGTAAAAAAGACCTAGATTTTATTTCCGAACCAATTCTTAAAAGACCGGCAACGCACTCGCGCGCCCTCTGGTATTGAGAGTGTCTATGGGTGGTATCTACTTAACATCCGGTGATGTTAAGTTCCCGTTTGCCCCATGTTAAATGTGTGCGTCTCAGAATTGATAACTTAATTATGTTGAATTCACTATTTAATTCTGTAATGTTCCGAGGATCATCTTCTGCTTCATTCATCATATTATTTTTAATCACTTTCATAAACGGTGATAGTTGCTCACTGTCAACAGTGTCTAACGCACACTAACCACTGAGTAGAGAGAGATTTCATCTGTACGAAATACGGCTAGCGCTGCGAGTTAGAGTGAGAGAGGAGTCTGCCCACCGCTGCCGTAAGCGTGAGAGAAAGGGAAGCTAGACAGACTGGCGCCGTAACGCGTTACGTAACGAAGCGGTTTTATCCCATAAGAAGTTATCACTTTAAAAATTCACGTCGCAATGTGCCGTTGAAAATAATTTTTATGGTATTTGAACCAAATTTATACGTGCTATTTTTAGTAGCAGTTAAATAATTTACGGTCACATTGTCAATAACACGTTAGAAATCAATATAAAACTTATTCATACCGTATTCTAAATACTCATTAGCCGCGATGTCCGCCATCATTTCGTCGTGGGATACGAAGTAATAATGTCTTCCGTTCTCTTCGTCGGTTCTCGGGGGGCGTGTTGTATCTGGAATTATTTAAAATATACAACTATTTAAACAGCATATTAAAACTATTCTATCGTTTCTACTATATATGTAAACTTATATATAATTATGGACGCATAGCAGTGTTGACCTAGGCTTCAGCTTGCGACTCTGATACCTGAGGTCGTAGGTTCGATCCCCGGCTGTGCACCAATAGAGTTTCACTCTATGTGTGCATTTAACATTCGCTCGAATGGTGAAGGAAAACAACGTGAGGAAATCGGCTTGCTTTAGACCCAAAAAGTCGACGGCGTGTGACAGGTACAGGAAGCTACCTACTTGTCTTTTAGACTGACAAATGATCATGAAATAGATACAGGAATCTGAGGCACAGACCTAAAAAGGCTGTAGCGCCACTGATTTATTTATTTTATATTTATGGACGCACCAAAATTAACAACCAAAAAAGTACCTATTACATCGCTTTTGGGTCAAATAAATTCCTTAAAGAGAATTTTAATGTCCTCTCACATATAATAAGATTAAGATAATAGTAATTAATTTGTGTACAAAGCGGTGATTTGTTTAAACCAGTGTTTGCCAACCTTTTTTGTGCCATGCCCCACCTTAGCCTTACTAAAGTTATTTTGCACCCTATGCAACATATAAATTTTTATATTACAAAATTGAATTGTTCACTTAAGAAACTTGATAGGTTTTAGGAAGAAATCAATAGAGAATTGTTAACGAAACAGTAACATTTCAGAATAATGAAAAACTGAAATTACAATTAATTTTATAAAGATTGTTCTATATTTATTAATTATTTTCGTGAGATCTTTGCGCTTCATGCTTGCTGCACAGAAATTTTATATTAGGTTCCAATTTGGTTAGCTTCAGTTACAGTGTGCCTCCCCTAGCAATCAAATAGCCCCCTTGTGGGGCGTGGGCTCCACGTTGGGAAACACTGAATTAAGCATTCCTTTTCGTATTATTGTCATTACGTCCTCTTTCATTCCGCGCTCATATATTTCACCATTGCTTGCATTCGAAATAAATATGTATTGTTAATTGAAACTGTAATATTTGTCAACAAATTCGTATTTTCTTGTATTCATGTCTTGCATGGAATGTTGGAACAACATAATGTTTTAACCATTAATATTCTTTCAATGGAGCTTTGAGCTTTATTAAATTTCAGTTGAATTTCTATATTCAAAATTTCAAAAAGCTTTAAAGTACTTGAATTTGCGAGTGGGTTTTTGAATTGTATATCTTTGATATATAACGTTGATAGTATTGAAAAACGTATTAACAATTTTATTGAAAAAGAAAAACATTTTGTCAAAGCTTCACATTTATTTAAATGTCATTTATGTAGAGAGGAATTCTCGACAAATTTTACCCTCAACTGAGACAGGAAATGGGCCAGAGCGGAAAATCTTTATTGAGACTGGCCATCTACACAACAGATAATAAGTACAAGAGAGTGCGATACAGGCGCACTGTAGTCTGTAATCTATTAATTCTGGCCGGTCTTCTAGAATGTCAATCAAACTTAAATCTATTTTCAAGAGCTGTCAAGACATTTTTTTCCTGTATAAAATTTGACATATTAGACAGCGCTAAAGACGGGAGATACATTGGAATAAGAACTTTAGATATATCTTCTCTTCTCTATGGACCTGTACCTCATTGGTACATCACAATCACACACACATCACATTTTTTTTAATTAATATATTTTTCGGCTTTGATTGGGAGTTTTCAATACTTACGTGGTATTGGGTAGGCGTACAAGTCCGGGTGACGAGAAATTAGCGTGTTCTTTATGTGACGGCGTCCCACTCCGTGCGCGCCCAGGAGTACTATAGTTTTCCGTTGGAACGCTGAAAATTGTTTAAAATGTTATTAATAATATTCCATTTAATCAAAGAATTTTATGAAGGATTAAAGTTAGGAATACTTTTTACTATATACTGTTGATTAACCTTCTGTACCCATTAAACAACAATATATTTCAAAATATGGATAAAAAAGAAAAAAATAACATTTGACAAATATTCTCTCAAAATTAGTTTTGGTTTCTGGCTGTTTACGAAATCTAAATAAAAAAAGAAGGAACATCGGCATAAGGTACATTCATATTTATTGTACTTTTAAAAATCGAACCGTGTTGCTGACATATGATTGGCCTAGAAACGTTGACCTTGAATCACAATCAAGCAAAGCCATTCGCAATTTATTTCTAATTTTTTTAAAATTTATTCTAGCCCTTTACAAATAATTTAAAAACTTACTTGGTAATTTAACGACTTCTTCATATGTCACCACATCGAGTTGGTCGAAGACAGCGTTGTGTTTTGCTAAGTATTTATCTTTAGCTTGTTTCTTCTTCCGACCAAATATTGAACAGTTCACTGAAACAAATAAACTAATTATGTGGCGGAGCCTATTAACAAAATAGTTTTTATGTTAAATTTCTTTAAATAATCATGTATAATCTGTGACAACACCAATGCGCCGTGTACTTTGCGCGCGCAAAAAGCTGTCAGATTTGCATCGGCCGCTGTGCGACTGTTTTTAGGAAAAGATCTAAAACGGGGTTTACTTTTTTAATAATCGCACCAATTACAATCAATCTTTCCATTATCCATTAAAATAATAAATATTAGTGGTAATTTCCAGGTATTATTTACAATAGAATATCAACGCAGCAACTACTATTGGTAATATAAAAAGCTTATTACACAAATACAGTCGTAAATCTTAGTTGCGGTATAATAATACAATGAATTACCTGTATTCTCACATCCGTCGGTGTGAGAGACGCATCCGTCAGCTCCTAGCGGCATAACATTACAACACAGTCATGCAAACAACTTGGCATGGATTCGACAACGGCATATATGGTAACTACAATTATCTTGGGAAATGTTTTTATTCGAATATGCATTTCTTTTTTTAAATATGAGATAGCCACGAATATAATTTTAAAAATAGAATAATAGTTTTGTATTTTAAAAGTAAGTATTTTTTTTATTCTGTCTAAAAAATACTGGCCAGGTTTAAAAAGTAAATTGGAATAAATAAATGGAATGAAGAAATGAATAAATGGAAGAATGGAATAAATGGAATAAACACACATCAAGATAACTTAAGTTTTAACTTTTATGTCATTTAGACTAATTAAAGACGAAATTACAGCGATAAAATTAATGTTCATTAACTTTTATTAGCCTTATACTGGTTATCGTATTATGCTGCGATTATAAATAGAAAAACATTTCCCAAGAGAAAATCGGTTGGGTCATTCAAGACTATTCAACCATGTTTTAGCCTCCTAATTACTCTATATTTAAGGCCATTTCCTGGTCTATGCTATTGATAACCCATATTAGTCAATTATGAATTATAATATGAATTTAATAAAATTATTTTATAATTTATAGCATATATACCAAATGATAATAAATTACGGATCACCTCGCCTAAAATTGGTCAACTTTTAGACAAATCGCTGTCGAGCAATCCGCGAATTTTTGCAAAAGTGCATGTACTGTCTCTTTTTATCATAGCGTTAAAACAATTTAACAGACAAAAGACGAAGGCTATTCTTTGGTAAAGTAACAAAATCTACTGATCTTTATAATGACAGTTATATTTAATCGTTTACTATGTTGATATTTTTTTCAGCTGGCAAATTATTTATCTAACCAGGAAAGGGCCTAGGAATGTTATCAATATGTTTACATATACTTGGAAGTTATTAGCCACACTGGTATAGATACCATGCAAGGGCTTCAACACTTTTACTTTAATAGGATTTCATAGGACTTTTTTACTTTCATAGGATCAATGAAATGTTACATACCAACTGTAGATTCCAAAGATGGTTGAAAGAAAGAAAATATATTAACGCCCGGGTACTTTATCTAAATACCAGTCGTTACGTGTCATAGATTTTATTGCGTATAGTAAATAATGTTCAAAATGTATAAATATATTAATTTAAAAAAAAATAAAGCTTAAAAAATTAAATTAGATTTTTGAATATAGAATGATTGAATTTTCATTAAGATTCTATAACGCGTTTTTGAATACAGAATATATCATTTTTGAATTTAGAATATTATTTTCAATTTCTAAAATATTATATCGGAGCAAATTTTTAAGATTTAAATTTAGAATAATAATAAAGTTAGTAAGATTTTATTATTATTATATATTCAAGTTTTTGGTTATCAAAATTAAACCATGAAAAATACATATCTACGTCTAGTAGCAAGTACGCAGCTGGTATGTTAGATATAGAGCCTGGGTATAATCTCGATTTATATTTATTCAATCTGGCAATGTAAACTAATGCATATAAATACTTAATATATGTTACTTACATAAGACATTATTCATAGACGTACTATTCATTAAATCATTCGAACACAGGTCCTCAGGGTTAATAATTGCAACCACTAGACTCTGACATGAATGATGACACCAAAACCTTTATATGTACGTTTATGAAGTTGCTTTTATTTATTAATATTTATTTTTAAATACAGCTAATGTTATTACATGTAAAAATGCTTACGCTTTCTAACAATTAAGGCTAACGAACGAAGCTTACATTTAAATATTTAACGAACATCCCCAAACAGTCTAGACACACATACAATGCTCTATTAAAACGCGTATATACATGATATATAACCCATAACGCTTTTAGGATTCCTATACTAAGTATATTTATTACAGTTCAGTATAAAAAGCAACAAAAGAACGTATAAATAAGCATATCCCAATAGAAGCATTGTTACTACACAAATGTCTTGGCAAGACCTTAGATTTCCCTTTCACTCAGATTTAGGTCGCCATTAAACAGGTCGAAAGAAAATCAGGCCTCCCATTCAGTGAACAGCTGATCAGTCAACATTTTTTGAAATTGGAATATTATTATCAAGCCCGTTATTGATAATTCAAAGATATCACTTTGAAATTAGAACATCACAGACGAAGACGAACATGTTATTTTGAATTAGGAATTGAATTAGTGGAGAACGGTTTTAAATTCTATTATTTTTTTAATGTAAAATATTTAATGTCTATTCATAGAAATTTTTGAATTTAGAATATTCCTTGGTAAGTTAACATTTATTTTGAATTAAGAATATATTTCCTTTTGTTTTTGAGTATTGAACAGCAGACAAATTTAAATTAAATATTGAGTATAGATAAAGCCAAAAACAATCCAATTAACAACATGTGGTTAAAATTACCACAATATAACAACTCATATTGAACATTATACGGCCATCAAAATATAACAAAACACATTTTATTAAACCTATTACGACCGCAATTCAAAGGACCACATGACATGCAATTATGCGGTTGTATATCAAGAACCATTGATATAATCTGTATCTAAATTTAATTGGAACAATATTTTTAAAAGTTCGATAGCTATAACTTGATTCATAAGTGAGGCGAAGGGCAAAAAGATTCGTTGATCTTAGGGAATTTGGTATATGGCGGATTTTTGCAAAGCAACCAAGAGGTGAGCCACAGCAGGGTTGTTAATCTGTGTTAAAGACGTCACCGGCGACTTATTTTTAATTTCGTACACATTTGGAGTAATCGCTTCATTTTATAGGATTTTAAAAACGGCTAAAGGTAACTCGGGTTTTTACTTTTTTTTTGTATGCGCGCGAGATGTAGCTTTTCGACAATCTAATTTCGTCAATTATCTTAGGTATTCGGCTTATTGTTGAGTTGCTATACGCTAGTATCACATTTTGGAATAATTTATCTAAGAAATTAAGTAAATTATAATTAAATAAACTGCTTTTGGTTAAAAAAGCTCTAAAACTAAAACTTAAATATTACAATAAAAATTATAACAAAATTGTAATACAAAAACGGGTTTACATAAAAAATCAAAATTATCCAACCGGCTTAACTAAATATTTAAAGCGTTAAACCCTTATCTAAAAAATCACACAAACTATCGTACTAACATATCGTTTCAGTAACTAACCTTGGTCAGTATTAGATTTCTCTGCAGCAGCGCAAGCAGCTCTCCACTCTTGAAGTTCAGGACTTGGTATAAGTCCAGCCGAACCACCCGAGGCATCCTTTCGAGCTTGCCACCAGTGTGAATCATCCTTGCTAATAATCTGTAAAAAGTCATGTACATACAGGTAACAATGAAAGGTGATTCTATAGATTAAAAATAATAAACATAAAAGTAGACACAAGATGTGATTTGCCGTTTTACCTGCTATGAACACAGCCCTTAACCCTGTAACGTCCAATAGCGACCCATTTGTACAGCGAAATCCTAGGCATCAACTCTACGGATATTGAGAGTTTCACCATCGGAAGTCAAGGCAAAATACAAAATACCATCCGTATCACCTCGCCGTGCCAGGAGGCTCGCAAGTGCTTTGCCTTTTAAGAAATGGTACGCTCTTTTCTTGAAGGATCCTAAGTCGAATTGGTTGGTTGGAACTGTGGTGTAACCCTTCAGGCTAGAAGGATAAACTCCTTAGTAGATTTTTGGTGTTTTCTGTACGTTTAGTTTATTTAAAATAATAAATAATAAAATCTTTTGCATCAATATTATATAAACTATAGACTATACAAACTTAAAACAGTCCTAAGTTGACGAAATTTATTACATATTTTACAATTTTGTTAATATATTTACTCACTCAAGGCTGACAAAGATGGAATTAACTCAAAATCGGATGAAATCAAAAACTTTCAAACTTCACATCACTCTACGTAATTGGTTCGAAAGTTTAAATTAAACCACTTTGGATTAATTCTGTTGAAATTCCGTATAAATCAATGTACCAGAAAATTGAATACAGCTTAAAGATCGACTAATGTTGATAGCATTATCTCAATAAATTTCGAAAACAATTTTCTTGCAAATTACAAAAAATATGGCAATACAATTAATTGGACGTGTATGGCAATTAAAATGTAAGGTTCTTAAAACATTCGTATTTATATTATATTCATTTATAAAGGTTTTTAAAAAGATTTAAAACTTTAAAAAAACATATGTTCAAAATTTTAACACGCAATAGGTGAATTAAGTCATCTTTCAATCCGAAACTATTATAGAAATTGATCCTCGGTTTACGCCTAGTGTTAACAGGTTGTAGTGAAAGAAAATCTATATACATTCAAATAAATCTCAAAATTAGTTGCTAAACTCGTAGAAGGCACTTGGAGCAGTTTCTTCTTCTTCTCTTGAGGGGTTTATATGAAGAGAAAAATTGGAAAGAAGTATTTAAAAAGATTGTATTATTGAGTACTAAGGTTTTTATTCCGAAAAAGCGAACAGTCTTTATGGAGTAGCATAGCAGAATGTTCCATATGTAGCTATTAAAAAGGTAGGCCAAGTAAAAATGTCATATTAAGGCGAAACAAAGTTCGCGGGGGCATCTAGACCTAGTATTGATGTCTGAAATATTTTTGAACCAGAACGATATCAAAACCAATTTCTTAATTTAAGTCAGGGAATTCTATAAAGACTTACTTGTAGAATATCTCCGGTAGTGAAAGCTATCCCCGCTTGAGCGCAAGGTATTAATTCATCTTCTAATGGATCATAGTCGAATTGAGCTCTGACGAAAATCTGCAAGAAAACACTTTCTATATACACCAGTGAACACATAAACATTAACGACATATATAGCATTTATACCGTAGACTCTGATGATATAACTAATGGTGATGAGAATAATTATGATGTGAACGTGGACTACAATGTGCTTTTATTTGAGACAATTTACATATACTAAACAATAACAATCTAAAATGAGAATAATGAAAGTGATGGCAAGAACAACAAGCGCACAGAAACGGAACGGGGACGCGTAGCCATGCCCGAATGTAATAACACATAGTCCAACATGAATAACATAAATTAGCGATACTACTTACTAGAACGGGCGAAGGCTTTATCCGGAATAGCTAGTAAGGAACAAAACAGAAAGTTTTTAGTAAAATTTTAGGAAGCTCTATTGGATTTATGTGCGCTTGTCGACTTTCAACTACAAGTCAAAGCGCCACACATCTATTTAATCACACATTAGACTACTTATTAGTTTTTGTTATTTATCAAACAGCATTCCTAGTACAGCCCAGGGATCCAAACAAACTAATTATCAGTAATATTACCTCGCATGGTGGAGGCGCGGAACGGTATGAGGGAACTATCTTGAATGTCACGGAACCTCTCGCTTCGCGCTGAAAATTGAAAGTTCTTATATGATGGCTGGCATTACGAGAATAATTCAAATTTAATCAGTCAATTTGTAATGTAAGACCGTTTTCGTAATTTATTTATTTAGTAAAAAATGCGTTAAATTTTTAAAATTTTAATAATAATAATAATTTATTTGCAAGAATATGGTACTAAAATGTTATGGTGGTATAATTTTAACTTCGCATATTCTGCTACACATAATGGCGTGCACATTTTGTCTTAAAGGTAGAATAGAATTTACAATTACATTATTAGTCATATAAATATAGTCAATTCTTGTATTATATAGGTTATATATATAGAGTTATCTGTTATCATGTAACCTATTACACAAAACATCATATCTAAAGGAATTGTTTATAGTGTGAACTTTATTTTAAAAATTATAACCTGTCTATTTCTCTTAACAAAATGAATTTAGATTCTTTCTCAAGTGCTTCAGGCCCTCTTCTGTGTCAACAATGACACAGAGTGTTGTTTATACCACCTACAGTATTAAGGAGAGTTGACATCAAAAGATGTCAAAGTTTACCAGCATTCTTTGAAGCTGTGCGACCGATTGGTTAGCGACGGGTGTTCCATTGATCTCCTTGATCTCATCTCCGACGTGCAGAGTTGCCTGCCGATGGATCATCCCCCCGTGCATAATCCGAGCTACAATGCATCGACCATCGTCCGCCAACTTCAGTGTTATACCCTGCAATCAAAATAATATATTGTGTCGTATTAGTTCTTACAACGACCACTATTAGTCTTGACTTGTTTGAGCTATCGCGGAATGTTTCAAAAGAGTATTAAGAATATTCATAGCGCTAAATCACCTGCATCATGAGCATACCCTACATACACCCCTTCATGTACATACCCTCACATTCACACAACACAGCCGAATTAGGTATTACTTTTTGGAAATTCCATCTCACAGCTCATATTTCTTAGGCAATACGTTTAGGATGTCCACCATAGGCCAATAGGCTGCCCGACTCCATACGAAATCCTCCATTTTATTTAAAAAAAATTTTTTGTATTTTTTTAGATTAAGGTTGGTTTTTATAAGATTTGGTTATGCGCTTCTTGCACTTTACCCATTCTTTTTTTAGATTTTTCCTTACTAGGGTTGCCTGGAAAAGATCGATTGTTAGCGATAAGGCCATCCTAAGCATCCCTTATAATTTCTATGGTTATTTGTTTTTCTATAAATGTAACGTATGTAATAAACTGTAAATAAATAAAACTTTATAGAACTATTTCTAATAAATAGTCCCGTTTTAAATAATAGGTACATTCACATTTAATGAAATCAAAATTTTAAACTGCAAGCTCTATAACGCAGATATTTTTAGTTTTACTGCAAAGTATATTACGCAGTACTTGACCTTTTTTGCAAATACACGTTTATTTTTTGACAGAAAATTCGTTAATTACAAAGAAAGCTTAATGTAGTCTAATGACTCATTTGAATAATTCTATTTCATATGAAAGCAAGTACGTGAGATAAATTAAAAATTCGGATTGTTAGTCTCTGATTAGTTCATTTAAAACAACGGCCTTCTAGGAGGGTCTACTGTTTTTCAACGTGTTATAATTGTGAAGCATTTATTTATTTTACAGAATAATATAATTTAAATTATAATATATTACATTTGAACTATTCTTCTCAAAAAAATTATAACAAGTTCTCTCCACACTAACTCTTAGCTTTCTCCAAACCGCCACGTGTGCCTCATAGAAGTATGCGTCGAACGAGTTATCTTGCATTACCTAAAGTACGTACGAACTACGGCAAAAAATGTTTACCTACGAAGGCGCACAGCTGTATAATAAACTACCCTCAGATATAAAAAAAAGGGTGCGTGTACTTATGTACGCGCGTTAGAAGTTATACTTCTTTGGCATTATTAAAAATAGTTTTTGATTGCATGCAAATAATTAATTACAATTAAATAATCAAAGACTGGAAAAGGAGTCATTAAAGTCAATAAAGTTCAGTTTACATTTGAAAAATTAATTAAATAAATATTTATTATTATTCTCTTACATTAAACAAATAAAACACTATTTATCTTTAAAACATTTTTATTTCATTATACTATTTATTTTTAAGTGACTCTAATGTCTTCATCAGAATTTCGGTTTGTAATTTTAAATTAATTACTTGGTTGTGCATCTACGAGGCTTCTCCAAAACTACTTGCTTTCTGCAACAAATAAGAGAATATTAATTTAAGCTCTGTCCATGCAAAACTTAAAAATTTTTATAATTCATATTATAAATTTTTAACACATTTATATTAATATAATTATATAAATGTGTTAATAATATAATTTGTAGCACATGCTACAGACCTGGATAGCAACTTTCTTTTATTCTATTTAGAGATAGAGATAATTTAAATATAATACCGGTGTCTTCGTTGTAGGTTTCTTTGGAGTTGTTTGGGGATTCTTGTTGTTCAGTTCGACATGATTTTCTTTAACCTTTCTTTAATCCTACAAAATAATGAAATTGTTAAGTTATGTTGTCACTGTTGTGCACACCTTTGTTTGGCTTTTTTAGTATTCAAGTTATGTCAAAACTGATTTATTACCTTGTCATTGTTGGCTTTATTTGCTTTTGGGATATCAATTGTTTCCAAAATGATTTTATTTGTAATAACCTGAAATATATAAATAACATCTATTAATTTAAGTATCATGGTGAGTGGTTCGCACTCAGGTATTAAGGTGTATTATACCCACTGTCCATTATAAGTGGGAATGGGCTCACTTCTGGCAGGACAGAGTTTCGGTACTACAAGTGCAACATGGATGTTTTGAGGTATTACAATATCTCTAACTACCCTGTAGGGGAATAAAGTAATGTTGTAAGCATATGCCTATGCTTGAAAGGTTGAACCTTGAACATCACCATACATCATATTTATAATTAACATTCCTACCTCGACACCATCACAATCAAATTCATTGAAATCTACTTCAAACCATTGTGTCTCGAGAAGGTGATGGTGGCTTTGTTCCACCTCCGGTTTTTGATGTTTCACGGCGATAAGATGACAACTCTTTTTTTGTATTCAATTTAGTGCACTTCCACTGATTCATCAATTGTTTTTTGTCTCTTGTCCTTATATTTGCTAGATTAAATCTGATGTTTTGATTAAATAATGTGGTCATTTTTTTGAGATGCAGGTACTTATTAAAATGTTTACTTCTCTGTTATATCGCTCCAAGCCTTCATTTTCTCCTTATTAGTATTCGTGCTTAAATCTTTGTTCTCAATTATTGATATATAGGGTCGTAGAATATTTCTAAAAAGTTGCTGTAACAAACGCAATAAACAAAAGCAATGAATAATGGTTCATGTTTCAGTTTTAATCAACAATAATACTCGATAATACATACGGATAGTTAACCTCAATTGTATTGAAGCACTCAGGAAGGTTAGCACAGTTTTTTCACAAATATTTTATATTATTTCACAAATATTTTGTATAATGAAAATAACTAGGTATATAATTATTAATTTTAAACAATAATTAAAACTCCTATATTTGTTTAAAAGGTAAATGTCATTGTCAGATGTCAATTGTCATGGTCATTCAAAATTCTTGTTAAGCTGCTAAGCTAGAATATGCGTGAAGTTAGCTTCACGCATATTCTATTTCTTTTACTTGTAGTTTGTCTTATTCCCATCTCGCTCGCGCACGCTATATCACACTGCCAATTTTGTGTCATAGGTGCGCGCGCAATCGTAAAATTTCACTCTCATCAATTTTTCATAACGCGCCTAAAGAAGTACAACTTCAAAAATATTACTTCTATCAATTCATTCAAATCGAAGCTAAGAATATGTTAGACAAAATTACTTTTTAATTAATTTCTTTGGTTACTTTTATTTTTAAGTTTATTGCATGTACGGCTATCTTTTATTATGATTATTTTAAGAACGACTACAATGTTATGTTAATCTAAAGTATTATTCTCATGTAAGTGACATTTCTTGTTTTTTTGAGAAATAAAGTCTTTAAACCTACATTTGAACTATGGTTTGTATTAATGTAACAATAGCAGTCTAGTAAGAGCGCAATAAACGGATATAAAAATATTTCTTCAACTTGTAATTATAGGCGTAGCTAGTTAAATTGCGATATCAATTGGTGACTTATTAAATGAAACATAATTTGTTTCATACTTTTGAAAATATACGGTTGTGGCATTAATTCTATGGGGTAATATCATGGTAATACACAGGTTAAAGAAATACGTTATTGGAGTACTACCTGGAATGTTTGTAGATGGTATGAATACCATCAGTCAGTAAGATCATACGGGTAAAATACCGGGCTACCAAGTGATCACGAAGGACCAAAATCAACATATTAGGCAAAGGACCATCTATTCTTTAAAAACTCCTTTTCTTTCGTAGGTTTCATTGCTAAAGTTCGTGATGTTTAGAAAAGGCCTAAGCAGGCTCTCAGTGCTCTAGGGATGTTGAGACTCATAATTGTCTTTACTTGGTCAGCACCGCTATCGATCATTTCGATTAGGCGATCGACCCCGACTTCTCCTACCCTCACCACCTTGTCGAGACTACAGTAGACCCCCGGTAAGTCCGGATTTTTTTTTACAAAACAGTACCTTGTAAACTGAAAAATTACAATGATGTACAATGATAAGATTCTATATGTTACATATATGTAATGATTTCATTCATCATTATAGATTATATATATAAATTAGCAATCAGAAAAATAAATATGTTTATTATGGAACATAAGATACAGGTATCACTTATTCCACGTCATTAAATTTGAAACTGCAGGCATCCCTACTTATCGGCAAAGAAGACAGAGGGGGTAGGCCGAGAGAAAAACGACGTAAAAAACTTTCGGTACTCTTTTAAAATAGCAAATCATCAAACAACTCTTATTTTAAAACAAAGTAGCCTGTCTAGCACTAGTCCCAGGCCCTTTTATCAACTAGATAATCGTTCACTTTATAGTAAGCCTTTTTACACAGCTTTTCTTTAATACATTTCTTAAATTTATTAAAAGGCAGAGATAAAACAGCCTCTGGGATTTTATTAAAGAAGAGTGAGTATCCCTTTTCCCAAAAAAGATTTACTAACTTTAGAAATTGCAGCCTGCGTTTGTTCCGAGTATTAACATTGTGCGTATGTTCTATTCTAGTAACTCTTATCACTATTTTTATATACATACATAATTTTTTTATATATATATTGCGAGGGAAAAGTAAGTATGTTAATTTCCATGAATTTATCTCTCAGAGATTCCCTACCTTTTAAATTATAGATTGTACGAATAGCCCTCATCTGCAGGATGAAAATAGTTTCGACAAAACAATACCCCACGCTTCGAAAACAATAGTGGTGCGTACAAGTTTTTAATTGTTCAATCATATATAAGCGAAGATTGTCAAAAAATATTCAAAAATAAATAATAGACCGTGTCGGATTACAAGCGGTGCCGGACAGGGACTGAATTACCGGGGGTCAGCTGTATTTGGTTCTCTCCTGCCAATATGGCCAAAGTAGCCAAGCAACCGTTCTTAAATTATAGTTGACAGTCTTGTGGTGATCTATAGTTGGTTGAGAATATTATTGGTTCTTTTTGCAGTCCATTAGCCCCATTCTCCTCCAACACCACATCTCAAATGCCTCTTCGTTTTTCGGTCCACTGCACGAATTGACCAGGACTCCTTACAAAAATATGGAAAATACCAAAGATCTGACGGTCCTGCTCTTGGTAGTATGCAACACGTTTCTGTTTTGCCATATTCTGGCTCATTCCTGCTGTAGCCATAATTTAAAACTTAATTACAGAAAATGAAGTCGACCTAAGTTAATTCTAAAATAGCTGATTTCCAAGTTAAGATAAAGGTGAGAATTCAGCGCATAATTTCCATATTTGGCAAAGGATCGCTTCGCAAAGCAACTTCGCTTTGAAGTTCAGTGAGCTTCGTGGCACACGTCGGGAAGTTTAAGATGCATAATCGGTAAATAATTAAGGGAATATATACCTTTTATGATGCGATTTATTGCCCAGGTATGGGTGTAATATATAGTTAAGAAGTTTGCCGTTCTCGATAAACAATAATTAATTGGTGTTTATGTAATACATTGGCAGTGCAGAGCAGTGTTGGCGTAGTGGCTTCAGCGTGCGACTCTCATCCTTGAGGTCGTAGGTTCGATCTCCGGCTGTGCACCAATGGTCTTTCTATGTGCGCATTTAACATTTGCTCGAACGGTAAAGGAAAACATCGTGAGGAAACCGACATGTCGTAGACCGAAAAAGTCGACGGCGTGTGTCAGGCACTGGAGGCCGATCACTTACTTGCTTATTGGATTGCAAAATGATCATGAAACCGATTCAGAAATCTAAGGCCCAGACCTAAATGGTTGTAGCGCCACTGATTTTTTTGTATGTAATACATTAGTTATAGAATATGTAAGTTAGTTTTTGGGGCTCTCACAATACACATTTTTAATAACAGGGGGTAAGGGGGAAGATCATCTGATGTTTAGTGATACCGCCGCCTATATCAATGCCAGAGGGCTCGCAAGTGCGTTTAACAAATTGTTAGTACGCTCTTTTCTTGTCCATACTTTAGTGTGCAGCTGGTTCGACACAATGTCTACAAACTGTCTTAAAAATTCTCAGTTTTGGAGCGTCCAGGATACGACAATTACTGTTTTATTGTGGTGGGTTGAAGGTATATACAAGATCATGGTATCGAACACGATAGTCAATAAGATTTGATATGAAATAGTAGCATATAAAAGCTATGTGAGGTTTAACTGGCTTAATAGACACAACAGTTTCAACAGTATGTACAGATATTTATTTTGAATTATTTACTTGCGTACTAGCGTATTAAACAGGGTTTAAAATAGGTCTTGGCCTAGTGGCTTCGTGCGACTCTCATTCCTTTGGCCGTAGTATCGACTCCATGCTGTGCCCTAATGGATTTCTATGTGCGTATGCGCTCGTACGGTGAAGGAAAACATCGTGAGGAAGCCGGCATCCCTTACATTCTAATAGCGGCGTGTTAGAAAAAACAAATGATTTTAGTGTAGCACCAATGTTTTTTTTAATAGGTAACGGGAATAGGTGAAGTATTATTAGATTAAAGATAGTCCCTGATAATATAGTCTGATCCGTCAAACTTCAGACCTGTTTCCGTGCTCCCTGCGTTGAGCAAAGTTTTTGAAAAGATAATGCTAGACCAGCTTTCTTTACATTTTAATAAAAATAAACTCTTACATAATAAACAGTATGGTTTCACTAAGGGTCGCTCCACAATCGATGCCGGTGTGAAGTTGATTTCGGACATATTTAACGCCTGGGAAGAATCATATGATGGAGTCGGCGTCTTTTGTGACCTGTCAAAGGCCTTTGACTGTGTTCATCCTGATATACTCGTTGGAAAGCTTCAACACTATGGCGTTGATGGCAAAGCTTCCAGCCTGATGAATTCATATTTAAAGGGAAGGATCCAAAGAGTTCATGTCAATGGAGTCACCTCTCCGGGTTCGCAGGTATCAATGGGCGTCCCCCAAGGATCGATTCTCGGGCCTTTCTTATTTCTGATTTACATAAATGACCTCCCATTCTTTGTCAACGAAGTTCATGAGATGGTATTGTTTGCTGATGACACTTCACTTCTATTTAAAGTGAATAGGAATAACGTATTATTGGACGATGTAAACAATTCTATCTCTCGTATAGTTAACTGGTTTAATGTAAATAACTTATTGCTTAATGAGAATAAAACAAAATGTATTAGATTTACAACTACTAGCGTAAAGCGAGATATTGGTAACCTGAAAATTAAGGACAGTGAACTAAACTTTGTTGACAAAACTGTTTTTCTAGGCATAACAATAGATAGTAAACTCCAATGGGGCCCACACATAGAGACTCTTTCGAATAGGCTGAGCTCTGCAGCATATGCAGTAAAGAAAATCCGACAGTTTACTGATGAGGACACGGCTAAAATTGTGTACCATAGCTACTTTCATAGCGTTATGTCGTACGGCATTTTACTGTGGGGTGCTGCTGCAGAGGTTCAATCCATATTTGTGCTGCAGAAGCGGGCTGTTCGGGGTATTTGTTGTGTTTCTCCGAGGGAGTCGGTACGGAATAAGTTTAAGGAATTAAATATTATGACACTATCTGGTCAATATATTCTTGAAGCCTTGTTGTATGTCCAAAAAAAATATAAACGATTTTAAAACAAATGGTGACTTTCACCAGTATAATACGCGAAATAGAACTAATTTGAGTGTACGACCAACCAGGCTCCAAAAGATAAACCACTCCTTATATGGAAATTGTATTCGTTTTTACAACAAGCTCCCAAGCGAAATTAGAGAATTATCACTAAATAAATTCAAAGCCCTCGTTAAACGAAAATTAATCAACAAAGCTTTTTATAAATTTGAGGACTACTTAAATGATCCTAATCCTTGGGATTGAATTGCTCCAGTTCAAACAATTTGTATGACAATACTTGGCGATTAAAAAGAGTGGCGGAAAGTTTCTTGCCAGTTCTTCTTACCCGCTCTACGCCCTTGACTTGCGAACTGGTAGTAAATGTAAATTTACGATTAATTTAACTTGACGATTCAAAAGTGTACTTGGTTACCTACTTGAATAAAGATATTTTGAGTTTGAGTTTGAGTTTGAGTTATATAAGATAATTAAGTGTTTGAAGACTAGACTGACAATTAACCCTATAATTAGCTTCCATGTGCTTTAAAATTTTTTGGGAATGTTGTTTGTAATTTTTTTTTATTGATTCAACATATCACTAAAAGGACAAAAAACACGAATAAACCACTAAGGGGTTTAACCTTGGTGGCTGAAGGGCTACACTACAGTACGAATTTCATTAAATTCCTTATAAACAAAGGATTTACAAAAAATACAACTAATATAAAAAACGTAACTAAAACATTATGTAGGTAGTGAAAAAAAAAACAATTTAAAGTCAAATAAATAAATTTATGTTTAGGCAAGCAATATTAGCACATAGCCTATTACTCATGTACCATTCTTATGAAGAAAAAAATTGATATCGGTTCAATAGATTTTTAGTTACAAACATCTATTTATAATACTAGCCTAAAACACCTACCATCGGTTCATCAGTGTTCTTCTGGAATTGAACGAGTCGTACTCTGGTCACGTTCTCGAATTCGGGCTCTGTGTCCTCCTCATCTTCTGTAGCCTGTGGTGCGCGTCCGTTGACAGGCGGTGGAGACGCGCGGAGTGACTCCTCCCCGTACACTTCGCGCGCGACCACATCGTGAGCTTGTAGTAGAGCCTGAAACAAGTAAATAAGATTATTATATATGAAAAATCCTTTAAATTAAACCTATGAGTTCCTAACCAATTAATTCCAAACGCGTCTTTTCGAAGGATATAAGCAATTCGAATGGAATTTTAAGATCACATAAAAGCACTCTCACACATTTCACATTTCCCACACCTCAACTAATGAATTATAAGTAATTGTCTTGGTTATTACATAATGTTCTTCGTATGTATGCTGTTATCCGTTTTAGCAATATTTTAATACACAAATTAAAAAATTATTTAAAAAAAAAAAACGCTTTGGATTATCAATGAACTGTTTAATAAAATAATTTTAAAATACTATAAGTCTTAGAGAAGTGACGTCTACATACATACATATTATTGAAAAAATAATTTTGAAGAGATCGAAAGTGCAGATTTGCTTGATATCTATTTTTTTTAAATAAAATAATAGCTATTTCAGAACAACTATAAAAACATCTAGATACGTTATATAAACAAAAAAGTTATTTTAAAGATAATGATGTCCCAAACATAATAGGGTTATCTTGTGCTACAATCACCAAAGCGATTCCAAATCTCATACAGGTAAATATATATTTGATATACATTTTTACCAATTCCAATTTCCATTGCAGTAAATAGTTTAGTTTACTTTCTACATACGATTACTTGTAAACACCGAAAACCCGAAAAGGCAATAATGTTTTCGAGAATGTAAAACCTTTAAATTCCCATTCAAAGCTCTAAAGAGCGGATTTCTAAAAATACTCCATTACGAACAAAGGGTAAAAATCGAATGCAAGAAAATCCAAAATTTCATTTGATTCCGGCGTCGATAAGTCGAAAAGAATTTTCCATGTATCTGTAACAATTTTTCTTCTTTTCAATTTTCGATTTAGCGTTTTGGCATGCGTCTCGTTGCAGATAAAATCTGGGTATTGGATTTGTGGATTATCCACAAAATTCGGACACAATTGTACTGTACAGTACCGATTATTAATATTTGATAAAATATCTGAAAGCACCACCAAGCAACATATTGACAGATAAGTTTAGAACGTATATTTTTTCCCGCGAAATTCTATTGTTTTTTTTCCATAGACTACATATAAACGAAAATTCGAAATATAAACTTATTGATCTTCTTTTGTTCAACAGTTTATTACCTAATAAAATGGTGATTCAACGAAAATAAAAAATCTTTGAATTGGAAGCCAAATTAGTTCTTTGAATTAAAAAAGCCGAAACTAGCACAATTTAAGTGTTCCATTTAGGATTGGCATTGATTTTGACATAATTGCTCTCGTAAATCGAATCTAAAGTAATTCCAACTAAGCCCGTTGAAAGTATCGTTTCAACAAGGTTTTTATAAAAGGTTTTAATTTAGATGAATATGAATATGAGAACAATTAAATTGTATAGTTTGGGTCAATTATGTAATATAAAAGCGTTTTTTTCATAAATGATTTATATCACCGTTTCATATTGTGGTCCATTAAGTCATTAAATGAAAGTTAAATTAAATGTCAAAAAAGTTATATTGGTTAATTGGTTTATTTATGAAAAGGGAATTATTCGTTGCGAAACTCAAATCGTTTAATTTTCGTAATAATTTAGAGCTTGCGACTGTCATCACGTTCCGACCGTGCGTCGCGTCGTGCAGGGTCCTACAGTGAAGGCAAAATAAAAATCATAGAAGAAACGCCTGCAGTCTGAGGCCCACTTAGCATTGTGGCGTCTGGAAAAATATTATTAATACGTATATATGCGTACCACATCCATGCATCTTCGAGTTTGAGACTTTGGGCCGATGCTACCTGTTTCTTTGTTACATAAACAAATTTGTGAGAAAAATAAACGTTCCTCAGTTTGGGCAAAAATATGTTTAAGGCATTTGACATTTATACTGACACCAATCTAGAATATAGATGCAGATATAGTGGCATGAAACAGCACAGTTTTTCCCAAACTATATCGAAACATTCATACGCAGCGCAGTTCGACAAATTAAATTTGAGCGAGAAATACTGGAAAAATCGTTTGAATTCATGCATGCTGGCAACATCGATTGGTTAGTTCAAGATTTAAGCTATTGAAACATACGTTTGGGATTATATTTGAATAAAAAATATTTTAAAATACACGCTCAATTAGAACTTTGGCATTCATTTTGAAATAAAAATAAATTTAATTCTAACGTGACGTTTGTTATCATAGACATATTATAGGTTATAAATTGTCAATGTGTTAAAGTCAATTTATCAATAGTGTATCGATCGTTGCGTTCAGTTGTTCTCTGATCGGCGCCTGCGCAAAATCCAAATATCGGATGACGATAATAATAACTGAATCTGCGACTTACAAATGCAATTTTAAATTTAAAAAGCGAATTCCAAGATTATCAAACATAAAACTTTACAATCTGCGTTTTAAAATAAAAGTGCAAATGTTTTAATTCCATTACAAATGGATGTATGCAAATTGGATATTTGTGCAATTCTTTGTTTCCATATTCACGGTGACTATTGTTAATTGTATGTATAAAGATTAACATTAAGTATGACAAAGCGAGCTCAAATTAAAATATATACAGTATAGTCATATATAAATGTTAATAAATCGATAAAATATAGAGAGATAAGTAACATTAAACAAATAATAATTGACTATAGTATATTAGTTATTAAATAAAATAAATCACTGGCGCTACAACCTCTTTAGGTCTTGGCCTCAGATTTCTGAATCTGTTTCATGATCACTTTTAAATCTAATAGGCAAGTAGGTGATCAGCCTCCAGTGCCTGACACACGCCGTCGACTTTTTGGGTCTAAGACATGTCGGTTTCCTCACGATGTTTTCCTTCACCGTTCGAGCAAATGTTAAATGCGCACATAGAAAGAAAGTCCATTGGTGCACAGCCGGGGATCGAACCTACGACCTCAGGTATGAGAGTCGCATGCTGAAGTCACTAGGCCAACACTGCTGCATAGTAGTAGTATATGCATAATAAATAATAAGATATTATATTGTACTGACGTACTAACTGATCTTACTGAAATTATCGTGATTCATGTGTCCTTTTCATTGTCTGCATATGTTTTAATTACCTTGTGATGTTCTCTTTTCAAACCATCTGCAACCAATTTCTTTGCTTTTATCAGGTTTTATGATATGATTTTGAATCAATTAGTAAATACAAATCCAATAATTTGTTTTCTCTCCGTAAGTCGCAAACTATCAAACTGCGGCAAGTCTCACCCTTCACAGCCGAAAAACGCAGACCGCCGTTATCAAGAGTTCAATTATTTGTCTAAGAAATTGTATATCATATGTAGTATTGCACTTCTTGCGCACACTTTGTTTAATATTTTTTCCTCACAGTAGTTGCATGGACGAGATCGCTCGAAAGCGTTGAGGCAGCCAGTCGCCAGTTGTATTAAATTATTTTAATTTTACTGCATTGCAACGAAGTAATAAATCAATATATCTATAATATAATTAATTGTTTATAATTGTTACTAGTTTTTTTTATTATATACACTAATCAAATGCCTAAAATTGTTGAAGTATTACCCATTAGCGATATACGGAAACTGGAGTCATTTCGCTGTTTTTGGTGTCTGACATAATACATAGGCGATGAACGCGGGCATAAATTTTTTCTTGGCGCTACTCTGGCACCAAGCACCCTCGATGTACAATATTGCCACTTATGTTTGTAAAGCTGGTGTATGACCTACATTGTCTACTTTTAGGAGATTTTGTGCGATAAAAAGTACCAGGATATATTAAGGGAAGGGAAGGAACTTTTTGTACCGTTTGCCCTTAAATGACCTGAGAATGATATGTCAATTGCTTCACGTATCCCATCACATTCACCTGACACTTTCTTAGTCCATTGAAATGTTACAATTTGAGGGCCAAACTGAACATCTGTTAGAGGAAGTAATTTTATTTATGGGACATGTAGGGGGGGTCAATACAAGCGTAACCTCAAGTTTGTGGGGTTGGCGTGCTTGTCCCCCGGCCGCCATCTTGGAAAAAGGGGTGCGAAAAACACGTTTTTGGCTATATCTCCTAAACTATCCATCGAACATAAAATTTGTAAAGACACATTTTGTAGCAAATCGCTGTGCCTACAATTATGTCTGTGTAACTTTTTATCATAAATCTAAAATTCAAAAGTTATAAGTAAAAACAAGTGCTAACAAATGTTCAGTAAATGTAACATTTCAATGGACTATCTGTCTTTTCGTTCAATCAGAAACAAATAAAAATCGTTTCATACTTTGTTTTACAAAAATACGGACACCAGAGGGCCTGGTTTTAATCACAAGCCAGACGAATCTTACATCTGTAGACATAATTATGTTCGGTCCTATACTAGGAATGTATACCTAAACGAAATTTTATTATTAATTTACTAAGATCTGTTATCGTCAGTTCAAACGTAGAAATATGAGGTTAAAAACCATAAAAAGTTCAAGTCAAATTTATTCATACATAACGCGGCAATTGAAGTCAGCGATGGAAGAGCACTGTTGGCTTAGTGGCTTCAGCTTGCGACCCTCATCCCTGAGGTCGTAGTTTAGATCCCTGGCTTGCACGCTTTCTATGTGGGCATTTAACACTCGCTCGAACGGTGAAGGAAACCGGCTTGCCTTAGACCCAAAACGTTAAAGTGTGTCAGGCACAGGAAGCTGATCAGCTTATTGTCTATTAGATTGACAAATGATCATGAAACAGATACAGAGAAATCGAAAAAGGTTGTAGTGCCATTAATTTTTTTAACGCGGCAATTGAAACATTAATTTTGATGTATTCTACACATCGCGAAGCTGAGATACTTTATATGCTGAGGACTAGTAAGGTTCCCTTTACTTCATAGTTCTATATGATTTTTATTAAGATGCATGTAGAAATCATGTCGGTTACAGAGCCTATAAAAGCCTACTCAAATGTTTTTTAGAGATTTTTTATTCAGTCCCGTTATCGTACACATCTCACATATAATTAATATAATAAAAATAATAATTAACTTCGTGATCGGAATGTATGGATTTAAGTGTGGATTTCTGTAAATATCTAAATATATCAGTAGATTACTATTATTATACTAAAACTTGCATGCTAAATACAAGAAGATATTTATTTATTTCGTAATTCTACAGCTAGCACAAATGATATATAATAACAAACAATTACACTAAAAATATAGCCAAATACTAATATAATATTTACATAGAGGTTTAAACATATACACAAAATGATTACAAATTTTACACATATGTACATCAGTTATGTTATAATAATAATAAACCCCGTTTATTTCCAATCTTTACAAATGTTGACAATATACAGTTTAGATTTGTTATATATATATTTCCTTCAAAATTTTTCGAGCTCTATTTCAAGTTCTTTATTTTTATTTTCGAATGATATAATTATTTACCTAGGTTCAAGAGGCTTTCCCTTAAGGTAGTTACATATTGACAAATAATTATTTGTACAAATAATATTAAATTGAAAAATATTGACAAAGTAGTTACAAAGTTAATCCCTATGATTTTAAAATGTTTAAGGAATAGAAATTGCTGATTAGTACGTTTAATAAGCCAGAACTCATACATACGACTTTTTTTAAGTTCCCAAAATTTTTTTGCATAATTCAAACACTATCAATGCTACATGGGTTTTTTCAAGCGGCTATTATAATGCTCAAATCCCGATAACTTTTTTCCATGATACCAGATTCCAAAATCATGTTGCTCCAAATAAAGCTGCTGCAAAAAAGTTTCCGTTGAGTGTTTGGACTTCAACATTTTCACACAAACAAAAAATGTAATACAAAAAGTCGCCCAAATTCAACAAATTTATATATGCATTGATTGAAATACACAATTTTATACCTTATATTGAACAGCCTTATGTATGTAGTACTTTGGAAATGGGAAAAAGTTATTGAATACTTTCAAACGAAAACGTGATCAAGTTTCCAAGCATAGCATCTTCGATAACTGGGTTGAAATGAATTATTATTAAGTGAAAGTATCTTAATGTACTATATAAGATTCAGTATTTTAATATTTTGTATCTAAAATTTAATGGGATTTCCGACTACAGACTTACTACTTACAAAGGAATGAACCGGACGAAAAAATCTGTGGGTTGACACATATTGCGTCCCACTTACAACCACTACATTACTAAGATAATGAATGAGAAATCTAATCTAAAAACTACTCTGCGGTATTATTATTACATTTTTCCGCACTAACATGGAAAATACGAAAACAATAAGATATTATAGTTTTAAATATTACTATAACTACTAACAATTGAGTGAAATAGAATTGTCTTAAAGGGAATGCTTTTAGTTATTAATAAAACAAAATATTGTACTGGAACAGATATAGCGAGTATTATAGTAAAAATGAGTGTAGAAAATTTACCAAAAACTCGATTCTAAAACGTCAATACTGATGTACGACATAAAGCATACAAAGATTTTCAAATTAAAGTGCCGTTGATGTTAAATAAAAAAATTCGCATGCATCAAATGCAAATGCATCTTTTAATAATGGTATATTTCATCAAACTTGATAATATTATTCACGTAAAAGCAAATCAATAGTATACTGTTAATAACAGCATTTCAGACATTCAACGAATTTCGAATGGGAATAATTGATTCCAAACTCAAAGCCCCGCCCGCCGCCAGCTTTTGCTGCAAAATCGACGTGGCGAATTATTCTAACACTACTGAACTCCACTTACAATTGTAACTGTATTCAATACAACTCAAAGCGAAACCAATAAACCGTCATAAGTTTATCTATAAGACGAAGTTTCTTAACTCATAAAACGCAATTATGTTCGACGTTATCCGTAGCTGCAATCATTCTTTAAAATCTTGTTTATTTATTTGAAACGGAATACTACATATATTCCTGAGACAAGAGTCAGGACTACTAAAGGATATAGTATCTAAACCCAATATAGGTAGAGCAAAACCTAACAGACTCCTCTGGACTGGCCACATAGAGAAAGAAGAAAGGGGTAGGAGATAGACGCCGTGGAGAAAGACGCGAACTTGAAGCCGACTGGTGTAGCGTTCAAGATCATCGTAGGTTCTCTTGTCTCAGAGACTCACTTTGGGTCGTTGGGAGATACAGAAGTGCATATATTCCTACTTTTTATCCGCGAAGGACCATTATTCCTTGATAGAACCGATATCAGTGGGTGTAAAAAGCGGAGAGAATATCAAGCGAATGGTAATGATAGCTCAATTAATTTTAGTATTGTATTTAGTTGATTATGTACAATTTTAAGAAGGCGAGTTGTACATTGTATATATATAGTAAAGAATAATAAGAGGCATTTATAGTTTAAATGTTTCAAAATTTTCTAGTTTATTAACTAGTAATTGTGGTTCTATATCTAATACATATATAAAATTCTCGTGTCGCGGTGTTTGTAGTTAAACTCCTCCGAAACGGCTTGACCGATTCTTATGAAATTTTGTGTGCATATTGGGTATGTCTGAGAATCGGACAACATCTATTTTTCTATCCCCCTAAATGTTAAGGGTAGTCCACCCCTAAAAATTTTTATTTGAATTTTTAGATAAATTATTTTTTATTTTTTTATGATACAGCATTAAAAAATACATACAACCCCTAATTTTCACCCCTCAAAGAGCAACCCCTATTTTTTATTATAAATGATATACATGGCAAAACGACGTTTGCCGGATCAGCTAGTATAATATAATCGTCTAACTTTTCTGTGATATTTGACTATTATTAGTTTGAAATTTAAGAAGGATTTTCTTAATATATTTCTTTCTCAAAACTAAACGTTGAACTTTAATTTGTCGTCTGTAACGGGAATGCAATATTCGTATACCACTAACCGAGACAGTCGTAAATTTACTGGCTACGTGCCTTTCTGCTTAGATTGCAATCGAAAACTAACTGCTTTTGACAATGCACTTCTGAAATAGTACACTTTACGTTATCCTTTTTTTTTAATGTATTATCTCTGTACAAAGACATCATTTAACATTACGAACTGGCCTAACTTAAGACTAGTCATTTAAAACTAACCTAATTTACTAGAAAATATATTAAGCATAACAAAGTGACCAATAAACCTTGTGTACTATTTTTTTCCACTGGTGGTAGTTTAGCACTTAAGACTAACGTGCACTCACACGAATTCACTAATTCGTTATTCTTAGCACAACTTTTTCGATAGGTCCATGCGATCCTTAAAAGAGAATATCGTTTTCATTGAAGAATTTTCGTGCATATTCCATTCGTTTAGTAAATAAATACTGGTCGAACAACTGTTAAATACTTGGAGGTACTAAATACGGAGCGCTGTCAAGTTTTTCAAACACAAATGTACTATTAAGTAAAGATATAGAAGTTATTAAATATTTTTTTGTTCTGTACACTAAATCATTCCTTTTTTTGTATATCTACAAATTATGGAGAGAATGATTATATACATATAGTATTATATATGTTGGACGGTACAACACCTAGACCCCGTAGAAAATTTTATTCGAACGTTATTTTGTTATTAAAAACGTAACAGCCGTATATAGCAATAGAAGAAAACTTGTAATGTGTAATGTAATCCTAAGATAGGTAGGAAATGTTGTCATCAAGAGCAAATTACCGAAATAGGAAAATCAAAATTCACGGGATATGTTAGGGAATAAACAGCCAATTCATGTAGAGGTCAGAGCATGTATATCTGAGTAAATGCAGCGGCATCTGCCGGTGACATTCATCAACTCACGTCACTTCATAGCTTACCTACTGAATTTTGCGTGGAAATATTTAAGTTCCCGCAAATTT